CGCAGGCTGTCCCCAATCAAGCTGGCTTGTACCAAATACCTGTGAGTTTTAAGGGGGGTGCTTATCAGGCTTTAGTGCATTTAGGATGTAACCAAACCTTGATAAGAGCTGCATGGTTCAGGTACAGTGTGTACACAGGAATGTGGTGAAATATCCAGTAATGCTTGCTGTTATTAAATTTAGCATAGTGTATTGGTCGCAGTAAACCCACGCTTTTGACATCTACTAATATTAGGAACAAATTGGCCAGCTTTTAGCCAATTATTGGGGTATTTGTGTGTGGATGTCTCTAGTGGTAAGAGAGAGCATGAAAGGGGTGAGGTCGTGCAGCCAGGGGAACAGAGCGCTTTTGAGAGGCTAATCCTCACAGAGCGTGATGACTTTCCCCTCGAACAGTCTCAGGATGAGACATCAAAACATGCTATTGCTTTCAGCTTCAACCAGCTCGACCACTCTTCTATCCATATTTAGCTATTTTAAAAGATAGGATGTATTGAGTGACCCAAGCCACGCAGACTAATTAAGATAAAATATTTCCAGGCAGCGTATGGCAGGACATTTAGGATCGGGCTCTCCAAATGCGCCTTTGCGCCCTCTTACTCAAATGCAGGTACTCTTCGAGAGAATTGGTATGGACCTCATCAAGCAATTAGAATGATCCACACATGGGCATCTCTTTGCAATAGTGTTGGTTGACTATGCAACACAATACCAGTTGCGCTGTGCAGCATTTCCACAAAAAGTGTAGCAGACGCACTTTCATTGAATCTCCCAAGTTGATTCTCACTGCTCAGGGCACAGCATTTCTGTCATGAACATTACACAAACTTTACTAATTATTGGGCATTAAATGGATTCGCACAAACGTCTATCACCCAAAAACAACCGTCCTGGTGGAACGATTAACCCAGCAAACAAATTTAGGTTCTGGGAACGTTCTGGGAACGTTAGCTTTTGGTTCCCAGAACGTTCCTAGAACTTTCCCTTAAGGTTAAGGGAACGTTCCCGGAACATTCTCCTTACGTTGTAAAAATGGAACCTAAAAATAACCTACATGGAACGTTCCTATAACGTTCTTGTTTGGTTCCCAAAAAAATATCCTCATCAGACCATTCGGGAACGTTAGGGGAACGTTATGTGTTTGCTGGGAAATTGCATATTTGGAAGTTCTTTCACGAAAACGGCAAAAATTGAGACGTCAAACTAATCTCATTCACCACCATATTAAGACCGAGCAGGGCATGGTGGTGCACAGCCAGCCATATCGTTTACCTAAACACAAAAAAAGGAGGTTCACACTGAATTAGAGGCGATGCTAGACACGGGAGTAATAGAACAAAAACCTATGTCTAAAACCAACTGCTCTGTAAGATTCGGTGTGGATTATTGCAAGGTGAATGCTGTGTCCAAATGTTATGCATATTAAATGCAGCGGGTTGAAGAATTGCTTTATCATCTTGGTACAGCTCGTTTTTATTCAACACTGGAATTGCAGTATTGCATTCCATTTTGATTGCAGCAATTTGTTACGCTTCCTTTCAGGTTGTTTGGGGTGCCGCCCAATTTTCTCCGATTCTCCAGGATATTACAGAAGGTTTGTGACAAACTATTGGGATCTCACCAGCCCGCTGACCCTGACTGACCTAACTAAATTCAAAGCACCAGATCCCGTCCAGTGGAAGGAGCTGTGTCAGCAAGCTTTCGCCCAGGAAAAGGCTGCTCTGTGCGGTGGGCCGCAATTACACTCTCCTGACCTTTCTCTCCTTTTTTCTTTTTTTGTTGCAGACTGACACGTCGGACAGGAGGCATGGAGTGGTCCTGTCCCAGGAGATAGAGGGAGAAGAGTCATAAGCTGTGAGTAAGTGCTGTACTATGTATCTCATAAGTGAGATACATAGTACAGCACCATTGAATAAAGTGTCTGGTGATTAGATAGGCCATTCTCACCCTCCACTATTTTCCCCTGGGATGGGAATTCACTCTCTGTTCGGACCACGCGCCCCTGCAGTGGCTCCACCGCATTGAAAGATACCAATGGTATCTGGCATTACAGCCTTTTAAATTCAAGGTGGTCCACAGATTGGAGGCACAGATGGCTGTGGCTAACTTTCTCCTAAGGACTGTGTGTGTGTGTTTTTTTTTTTTTTGGTGGGGTGGTGTGTGTGGGGGGGTAATAAATCTATCTACCAATGAAATGACAGACTCCTCTCTGGTGAATTCTTCAATCATTTAGTGTAGTTAAATCGTCACCCCTATCTTACAACAGATTGCAAGCTCACATTTGTCATGCATATTGTGGTCTCAAGGAGATGCATGACGCAGAATTAACAAACAAAGGAACTTTAAAGCTACACTGTGTGATTTTTACCCCCATCTAGCGGTGAAAAGGTATATGACCATCCAGTGAATATTATTTTCTGTTCCTCTCAATTCCGATTTCGTTTTAACTCCTACGGTGGCCAATGTAGTCCAAGATTAACATGGCTTCCAGTTCGACCTCGTCCATGAGTGTTAACTCAAACGTAAACACGAAAGGCGAAGCTTGAATTAACGGCTATGTCCCTCTTTGGCTACTGTACTTTCAAGATGGAGGGGCAACATGGCGACCGACATTAGAACCCCTTACCCGTATGTATTTTCAATGGCATATTATACACTCACGAGAATACTTTATTACTTGAACGAAGTAAATATACATTAATATGAGCACATATATTTTTGAAAGAACTAAGTGTTTTAGCTAAGAATAAACTGAACGAGTTACACAGTGTAGCTTTAATAAACACTTGGAGAATACACAGATAATTTTTTACCACATAACACAAGGATGAGAACTGACAAGGAACTAAACAGAACAGGGAGTATATTATGGCGAGAAAGACGAGGTTGAGGGCCGTGGGAGGACGGCGCGAGCCCTCGACCACGGCCCTCGATCTCGTCCTGCTTGTATATATATATGCACAGAGGGAATTAAATGGGATAGGTGTGAACATAATTATTAACTAATGAGTAACCAAGGAAACTATCAGGGGTATGGAGAACGCTACACTGAAACACATCATCAAAAACACAATGAAACTAAACATAATTCTGACAACATTCAGATCTACCTCGATCCAATCAACAACCGATGGACAGCTAAGTCAAACCCAACAATTGTATCTTTTTCACTCAGATGTACGTCACAATAAGAAAAAAAATATCTATTGCTATTTCCGTTACATTGACTTGTGTGAATTGGAAATATTTCCATGAGATTTACCTGGTTCTGGAACAACATGTGAGTAAATTGTGTCATAATATTCTACTTTTACAAGTACTGTAGGTGAAAAAATAGGCTCTGAAATAAATTGTCTCTCAGAGAATTGACGGGCGTAACGAGAGCGCCGGTCTCTCTAGTCATAATGAACAGAAATGTTTAACCCGTTAGATGAATTCCCTCAAAACTCCACTTCAGTTCAATCATAGCAGCTCAAGCTCAAGAAATCAGTGGTGTGACGTTCTGATGAAGACAGGCTGTCTGTGTGCATGTGTGTGTGTGTGTGTGTGTGGACTATGCAGGGCATCACCAGCAAGCACAGAATTAGTCCTCATCAGCTCAGGGAATTGATATTTTATGTCTTTTGTCCAAAAATAGTGGGGACGCGTACTCTGATTGGCCAGATATAGGAAGAAAATGGCCTAGCTTCACTTTGGTTCCTCCAGTGAAGATGAGTAATGAAGGGCCTGACATTATGCAGTCACAATGAGAGCAGAGAGTGGAGGCAGAGCTAATGTTAGCACACATCACTGTGGGTTGTAAAAGCTGTACATACTGTCCTGTATGTACAGTAAATTGCATATGCAACGACTTAATCAAAATATCCCAAATAACCTTCAAAGCTTTATATGTTATGAAAAATGCATTAATGTGAAATTACATTCTCTTAATATTTGTATTTTTCTCTTTTGCTGTAATAACAGCAGCACTGAAACTGCATGAACTCCACAAGTTTCACAAGATCCTGTTCTCTAACATGATTTGAAAATGATCAGAAGAGCATCATGAGCTTCTATGGAAGCAAGAACGTCTGACGTCTGTACAAAGTCACATGATTATTTTTAAATGACTAAAACGGCAGATTTTCAATGTAGTCTCATACCAGCGGATTATTTTAGTGCTTATTTATATACAATTATAGTATTTATTAATATTCTAAATTAATTTTAAAATTAATTTAATTAATGAAAACTTTTATTTTTATATTTTATGTTAATTTTAGTTGAAGTTTTAGTATTTTTGTTATGTGCTTTAGTTCTGTATTTTTATTTTGCTTTTTGTTAATTTATTTTTATTATTTAGTACTTCAATTAAAAATGATTTTTAATGCAAGACACTATAGGATAACTAATAATTTTAAATATTTTTTTTCTTTTTCTTTTTTGTTAAAGCACAACATAGAACAAAACACAGTTAGACAATACCATCAATACAAGACACATAAAACAGAAAGTAGCATGTACGTGTAATTATGTGAAGTGAAAAGATATATAAAAATAATATACATACTATTTACAGTACATACACACACACACACACACATATCTGAAGAGTTCAGATGCAAAAGCCTCTAAATGGCATTTGAAATTTTCTTCTTTAACGATGATTTTTTATCAAGCTTGTATATTTAAGTTCAGTGATTTCACTTAAATGGCAATGATAATTACCTATTAATTGTTATTTAAGTGAAATTACTGAACTTAAATATACAAGTTTGATAAAAATCATCATTAAAGAAGAAAATTTCAAATGGCATTTAGAGGCTTTTGCATCTGAACTCTTCATATATATACATATACACAAACATACATAAATTGCAAAAGAACAAATATATATATATATATATATATATATCAAAGGGCATCAAAGTGGAACTAAATATATATTAGTTTTAGGGTTCAAGATGTTAAAGTGAGTGAGTGTGATGAACAGCATGTATCTGTGGATGTGTGTCACTCACCAGGTGAAGCAGTATATGGTGTCCTCTGGGGTTGATGGCGAGAGCTTCATCGTACAGGCTCTTGGCCTCGGTGTCGTTGCCCCTAAGCTCAGCCACACGGCCCTTGAGCAGCAGCACTGAGTGTGAGGTCGGGAAGAGAGTCCCTGCCTCCTGCACACAGAACTGAGCTTCCTTCATCCGCCCATCAGCGATGAACAGCTCCCCTGGTCGGCACGGCATCACAAAACATACAAGAGATCAATGAGAACAATAATAAACCATTCTGATGGCATAATTGTTTTTGTGACATTGCACTAAAATGATATTATTACAGTTACAACTCTCTTTTTTCCACTGACAGCTTTGTCATTTCGTGAAATTCTCTTATTGTGAGATTATCTCTAATCGAGTGCATGATGATTCATCTTTATGAAACGTCTCTGACTTCACGGCCGTGACACAGCCATCTGGAACATCAACACCCTCAAAGACGGATCTGCTGCCACAGCATTACAACTCTCAGAGTAAAGGAGTGAATACCAACATGCTTCATTTCAGACAAGCTGTGGTTCAACCAGGAGAATCGCACGAATGCCGCATTTTGTTCTTTCAAGATGATTTAAAAAGCAGCTTAGGCAACATATTTGCAGTCGCAAATGCACAATGACCTTCTCCCCCTTCTCCCCTTAAATCTCACACTCAGGCTCATAGAGGGATATTCATGCTCATGTCTAAATAAGGCTATGTGTAGAGTGCTGTGCAAGCATCTGCAGCTCTACTCTAGCATTTAGGACTCACCACAGCAAATAAACAGTTCTTATCAACGGCTGCCTGTTGTATAATTATGTTTGTTCAAACAGAATCACTGGTTGGAGAATTTAGCCAGCTATTACACACACAAAAAAAGGTTGTTTTGAAAATTGCATACATGTATAGTCCTTCCAAGATAGCTGCAGTGTTTTGCTCACCCTTATGTGCAATTAATTCAGACTGAACTACTTAACATACAGACTTATTCCAACTATGTTATGTAGATTATTGCAGCCGTAGAGGGATTATTGTAGCCGTATTAAACTATGTTATTCCCTTAACTAAGACGAGTTGATACCAAGGGGGTAATCCATCGACCGGAAGTTGAAGCCTCGAGGGAGCTGCCATCTTGTAGCAGAACTTCACTTGCGTTAGCATTTCCATTGACTCCCATTCATTTTGGCGTCACTTTGACAGCGAATAACTTTACATCTGAGGCGTTAAAAGACCCCATTTGTCCTTTATTTATTTCTAAAGAAACACGACAATGTATCCACAAGTTTCCGAGGGGCACTCCTGTAAAAAATAAAGTGGGTGATATTTTGTGTGTTAGTTAGCGAAGAGGCTAGCTGTTTTTCTGAGAATTATTTTACTATTTAAAGACGCAAATCTTTATGAGAGTTACGGAGCTTAGGGACAACATGTGCTGTTCGCAGTTGTATGAATAACCGGATTAAACTAATTCAGTGGCTTAAACGTGATTGTTTTGAACATAAGCCGAAAACTAAATCAGAGTGATCCTGCCAACGACTGTAACGTTAGTTTCCATCACCTCCCAAAAGACGAAGTATCTTCCTGTGTACATTTGTTTAAATTCTTATAATTCTATAAAATCTATCAGCATGTGTTTGGCTGTTCTCTACTGATGTTACACCTAAACTCAGGATCAAAGCCTGTGTTGACAGAATTCCAAATGTGCCAGTTATTGTATTCAAGTAGCACATTCATTTATAATTTTGAATAAACTCCAAAGCACAATGACTAAGTGTGTATTTTTTATTTTAATTGTTTGTCAGCTCGCACAACTGTCTGTCACCACGCCTTGATGAGTATTGATTATTAATAATGTTATTATAATACTCTCAACCAAGTAACTGCGGAGGGTAAAGGTTCTGTTATTTCACCCTTTTTAATTTCGTTGAGGTTGTGTTCACACATCGTTAGCTAGTTTGGATCGCTATAACTTGAATGACTATCAACTGTTGAATGAACGAGTGTGAAGTATGTCAAGTCGCGCTTTGTTTACTTCGAACCGAAAGACGCGCCCACTTTTGACGCAAGGCCTCATGGGGCGTAGGAAACTTGTGGATAAAATGCTCCATTACCTTGTAGCTTATGTTATGGCCCCGTAGAAGCAGTTTTTTTTGTAAAAGTAGGCTAACGATTGCATCATACCCACGCGACTATCTGTCGCACAGTAGAGAGAATACCGTATGGACAGGAGGAGAAGCTTGCGGGCAATCGGGGAAACGTGGAGGCAAAATGATAAAATAATTAATCAGAATACCTAGCAAAAGTTTCTCCATCTCCTAGCTCATGGACAGCTCTTACTCACACTCTCTGCCTCTGCATGTTTCGGAAGGGAATGATTCAGATTTCTCATGCCACAGCAACTAGAAGACAGACTGGTCGCTCACGTCACATCTACGTTGTCAAGCTCTGTTTGAGTCGATTTGAGTCTGCGGAAGTGCTAAAAAAAAAATAAAATAAAAAAAAAATCGCCAAAAACGGGCTTCACTTGTCTCAATTGAGTTCCAATGTTCACTTCTTATACTGTCTATGGTTGATACTCTGTCGTCTCAGTGCGTACACTCAATCCTTCTGGCACGCGAGACACTTTGATAGCACTGAACTAGCCCAGTTCATTCAATATGGGTCAAGCAGAGAAGCGACCAAACACCTCCACCTTTTCCCTATTTTTATTTTATTTTGTGTCACCGTCCTAGGTCGAGTTACACTACTCGTCTAACTGTATTTAAATAGGGAAAACATGGAGGTGTTTGGTCGCTTCTCTGCTTGGCCCATATTGAATGAACAGGGCTAGTTAAGTGCTATCAAAGTGTCTCGCGCCAGAGCAATTGAGTGCACGCACTGAGACGAGAGAGGTATGTATCAGGTCGTCTTAGTTAAGGGAATAACATAGTTTAATATGAAAAAAGGGTGGAGTATCCCTTTAAGGTGCGGTCACATTTATTGCTGTTCCTGAATTGTTACAGGCTAGTCATTTTAATAGGAATTCAAGCAATCGGAAGTTTGAGTGAGGGCAAAAGATTTCCCAATGCAGATTCAGATTATTATTATTTTTTTAAATAACACTGAAATTAAATTAAATAAGCTCTACACAAGCTAAATAGAAATATATATACGTATATATTTTTTAAAACAGAAACTAATAAAAATGTCAAAACACAACAAAATTACTAAAACGTGAAAGTGCAATAGTTGGGAAGTTAGGGAAATGCTAACTTTAGCCTGCTAGCATTAAAAGCATACGATCCCACCCTCACTGCAAATCGGCGTCCAAATGCGCTGAAGACATACAGTATGATGTCTGTGTGAAGAGGCTGCGCAGTGGTGTGAAAAACGCATGCCAACTGACAGGGAACACATAGTAGCAATTCATTCGGACCGAATGCAATAATTGAACAAACATTATATGGTCCTACACCTTCCATAGCGCAGAGATGATATATATTATAAAATACATTTAGACCGTTTGACTTTGAGACTTCAACCAGCATAACAAAACATTTTTTCTGTAGAGAATCACCTATTGCACCTTTAATATAAAAACTGTAAATGTAAAAATAAAAGCTAATTCAACATATTATTACTGTAAATACTTCAATAATGAAATAACACTAGTTTTAAAGTCACCTTTGCTTGAGCTGTATTTTAAACATCGTTACACTATTGATAATAGACTATGGACCTTTATCCTACAGCAAAATTTTGCAAATGTTTTGGTGTGGTCCCACAGATTTTGTTGAAATGTTCAACATTCAAAATGTAACAGTGCTGGCGTTGTTGTAATATTTGCATACTGAAGTGTTACTGGTCTTCTTTCTGGTAATTATTTGCATACTTAGTTGTGATAGGCCTATTCCCATCAATAGCTGCCTTTGCACTGCATACACAGTTGTGCTATGTTGTTTCTTCACAGACAACACATGCTGAGTGGCATAACAATGAAATTAAACATTTAGAAGTAAAAATACATTTATTTAAAACATTTTAATTAGTTACTATAATATGTTATTCTGATTCAAAGCACATAGAAACACCGGCAGATTACAAATGACAGCTGATGTAAATAAATATGTGCTAGATGAAAAAAAAAGCTGGATTGTGTTCACTGGGCCCTTGTGCCCAGTACTATTTTGAACTATCAGTGTGACATCACGTCCATTCTTTCAATGGGCCGCTCTTGTGCTCTCACATTTACTCATTTTTAAAGAACCAGGATATGTCCCATTTTAGACAGGAAATGAACCCATGCCAGAGGAATGCTGGGAATGGGAACAAGAGGGCACAAACACTCAGTATAAGATCCCTGGGAAACGCATTTCATGCAGAGCAGCATATAAATAACGCAAAAATAACATCCAAATAATGTCATAGTACGTCATTGACTTCCCAAATGTATTAAAGTCAACATGAGTACAGAAAAAAAATCTCAAAAAACTATTACAAACTTGATATTTCATTCAAATAAGAAGATTTGCATATGAAACACTTTACTTTCAGCTGACGTCATCTAGGAAAATAAGGCAAAATATGTCCTTCTAAAGAGGTCATTTATACTCAAAAAAGAAGTGTAATTTCTACACTTACGACATACCTGCTTGCAGCCAGATGCGCTCCAGGGTGGTCCAAATGTAGGCAGGGCCGTGTCTGTGGGTGGAGCTGATGGCTGACACTTCCGACATGGCCTGTTCCAGACGAGACACAGCGAGAGACGGAGCGCTCTGAGACCCTGACACAACATGACACACATCTCAGTTACATAAACACACATGCAATGACACATGCTTGTGATACACACCGGTCTCTGTCTCCTGGAAGTCTGGGAGGGTAAGATGGAGGCCGCTGGGTTTCCTGCTCAATGGGCCTGGATCAGGGGGTATGCTACTAGTGTCATCCTCCTCACTGGAACACATGAAATCACAACATCTCTATCACATGGAAATACTGGGCTATAAACACACAGACTAAATAAATTAGGAAATAAACAAATCTACTAGCTACAGAAACAAATTAGAACATATAGGCCGTGTGTCCATCAAACAGTTTTTTCCTGAGGCTAGCTTAATTGATTTCAATGGGAGCTGAACGATCATCGATCTTTTTTTTTTTTCCCCGGTCGCCAAGAGCTGAAGAATGTTCAACTTTGGTAAAATGCAGAACTCATAACTGTCACTATTTACCCAGCCATCCAATCACAGTGGAGGAGGGGCGGGACAAATACCACAGCGACCACATCCTGCTGGGAGATTGGCAACAGACGAGAACAACGGAACAAAACCATTGAAAACAAAAGCCAAGGCAAATACTTTACATTGTATTGACATTTTTTTATATTCAGAAACATACTATCTGGGAAATCAGATATTAGTAACAATTCTGCGGATATTCCATATCATATAGCACACTAAAAAAACAATGCTGTGTGGCTGAAGCGCCCGCAGGAACATGTTTTCAGAAGAGCACTGCCGTTATTGGCTTACTAAAACACTTTGGTGGACACACGGCCATAGGTTGCTTCACAAATGGAAGGCTGCATCCCAGTGAGACTGTGTCCTTCCTAGTCTAGTTCTTTCTAGGCTTGTAGGTTGGAGTGTATAGTGTGGCTGGAGTGCTGGAGTGAGGCTGTCCTCCACAGTTTATAGGTTTTTCATACGATATTGATATTCATCCCCATATACATTTACCTACCATTAAAGGGCTTTCCACATATTTGTTAGACCTTGAGAATGAATGTAAACATATAAACTTGTTTGTTCAAACTCTGCAGAGTAGCTACCCTTTAATTTGGGGCCCCATTAAATCCTCTTTGTTTTTCTCTAAATTCATTTTTTTCACTTTTTCTTTTCTTTTTTTATTGGAGGGATATTGATTCAGTACAAATTTATATAAACTTTAACAATTTGATCAATTTAATCAAATGGTCAAACAAAACAAATAGAATTTTTTTTTGGAACAGAGACGTGACATATACACATTACCTGAGTCGGGTAAAATCATAGCGGCTTTGCCACAACTGCAGCATTTCGGTACAGGTCTGTAAAGCTGCAGCAGGTCCGAACAAAACCTCTTCCAGCTTCACTTTGGTAAAGAGAAGACTAAAACAAGCAAATACAAAAACAATTAATAAACTACAGTGCAACACGCACCAAAAAAGAGACAGAAGAAAAATTCTGAATAAGTGCTTCTGCTTACTACTTTAGTCAAACTCGAACAATACGTAATAAATATTTACATTTCAAATGTTTGCTATAAGTTTCTTTTTTAAGATATGGATACTTCTAATTAGCCAGGATGCATTAAATTGATCAAAAGTGATAGTAGTGATATGTATAATGTTACAAAAGATTGTCATTTCAAAGTCTTTTGAACTTTCTATTCATCAAAGAAAAAATGTTAAGCGGCACAATTGTTTTCAACATTGAAAATATTAATAAATGTTTCTTGAGCACCAAATCAGCATATTAAAATGATTTATGAACACTCATGTGACACTAAAGAGTAGAGTAATGGCTGCTGAAAATAGCCCTTTCAATAGTCTCTGATGCGTATGGGGAAACTCTTGGGTTTTTCTCGGAATACTGAAGCCTGATTGGTTCATGTCTGTGCACTGTAAACTTAGAGATCAAGAAAGCTGACAAGACAGTGTTTCACGCTGGCCTGAAGGGCGTTGCAGGCTATGCGCGACTTTCAACTTCAGTAGGCGAGTTCTTCTGCTGCTCATTGTCGCCATCGTCGACTCAGGAGCACACCATGCCAGCTCCCGCACCTGCTCAGCCTCAGCCTAAAGCAGACCAGAGGTGAAGCAGCACTTGCACCCAGCTAAGCACTTTCCATTTTGAGCAGCCCAAACAGTCACTAATGCTTTGGGCACGAGGAGGAGGGGGCCAAGTCCTGCCAAGGCCGGACCACCCTCGAGGGACCATGTGTTTACCTCCCAATCCCCTATCCAGTCTGGGCATTGGAGGCGCTGTGTTGTTGGTACTGTGTTTGCCCCACCAGTGGTATGCCCAACTAGTCCTCCTTCCGCTGTTAAAGCGTGCCACTATAGACCATTTCACAAGATGTAAACAACACTGGTCCAGAAGCACTTCCTGTTTCAGTTTTTTAACACTACATAAAAGCTGGGATAAAATACAACCAACAGAACATTTAAAATTGAATCAAAAAGTTAAACAAACCTATTAAGATGTTTTCTTTACATGTGAAATAAAGAAAACAGTTACAAACTGAAACAGGAAGTGTTTCTGGACCAGTGTTGTTTACATCTTTTGAAATGGTCTATAAGAAATCATGCCGCAGGAGTCAGCCCCCAGCAGCGGCTTTCCAAACTCTCGCCGCCCGAGGCCAGTCTTGAGAAGCCATTCTGGGTGTGTCAAACTGGATTTTAGAGATGATAAACCCAGATGAGGCAATGGGCCTAAGGTGCTCTCCACACCCTTTAAGACTCAGGTTATATCACTTTCTGACCTTCTCACTGCTGAGGTTGAACAGACACCACACCCAATCCGCCCAATCCGTCCCCTGGTACACTTATAGTGTACATTGAGCGCTCTTGCCAATTCAGGCAATCGGAGCAGCTGTTTGTGTGATTCGGAGGAAGCTTTAAAAGGCTGCCAGTCACGAAGCAGAGACTGCCCCAGTGGACACAATAGCGCTAGCCTACAAGCTTTTTTTTTTCCTGTTCCAGAGTCATCAGTCAGACTTTTACAGTGTTAATACAGTTTCTGGAATTGGATGTCCCTTCCGGAGCTTCTTCAGTTGCTTCTGACAGAAACAGAAATTCTGCAGCTGTCTGGGGACATTCTTCTTCCCCTTAACTGTCTCTCTTTTAAGCAAGGTACAGGGAGTGGGTGGACGTCTGTGTGAGTTGGAGGGTGGAGGGGTGAAGCGAGATGAATGTGAGGGTGTGTGTGCGGATGTGTGCTATTAAGAATGTGTGTGTAAACAGGGGCAACAGAGCATTCACACCAGTGAGAAAGAGATGCAGCGAGACGCTCTGACTGGCAGACTCATGTCATGTGTGATGTTGTGCTGGAGCAGCAGTGATGTAGTGATGAAGTACACATACTGTAGGCTAAGTTCACACTGTCAGTTTTTGGGATTGACAACCGCATTTACTTATAGTACAGTAGCTGTATGAACATGCAACGAGTCAAGCCTGTATTCTCTTACCAGACCTGCTGAAAGATCCATCATAATCCAGTATGATTTCCAAGCTGGTCAAGCTTGGTTTATGCAGGTGGACAAAAAAATAGTCATGCTATTCTCAAGCAAAACAGAAGTGGTGAAGCTGGTTCACCAGCATGGTCTTGTGGGGTCTTTAGTTTCCTCTTTGACAGTAAAATTTAATTTTAATTGTTTTAGTTATGGTTAAATTATTAATCCATGTCATCTTTGTCTGTTCAATAACAAGGTTAATGACACAAGTTCTTGCTAAGAAAGAGCTATTGATAATGAAAATTGTATTTTGCTGTTTTAAAAGAGTTTAATGGTCATTTGGAAACCCCCATGTCAAAATCTAGCTGTCAGTCATTGATTCCCCAAAATGTTTATTGTAAAAGGTATGGGCCAAGTGACCAACTAAAAGACACATAACAAAACACTAATCACCATAATGGTGACTTCAAACAGACTTCAAAAACCCCATTCGCAAGTTTTGTTGTGGTCTGCTGGAATCAAAAGAAAACATAAGCGGACCAGCAACCAGTATGGAAAAATATACCTTATGTTGATAACCAGCAATGCTGGATTTTTCAGCAGGGAGTGACCAGGAAGTAAAGTAATATCAAAGATGGCGACGTCGATCACTGAAAAGTCTTATCACTTTCGAAATTACAAGAGTCCAATTGAGCAGCGAGGTTCAATTAATTAACCGACAGCAGCATAATATGTCAGATTACAGAAGTTAAAAAGGTGATTAAAAGAGATTCTAGTTTACATAACACCCTGGTTCAACTGTTCCTTAACAGAGTTTCTAGAAAGCGGAGCTAACTTTTGCAAGTTATAAAGTGATGATTTGTTTTCTCCAGAGGCAGAGGTTCTTGGAATAAGAAATGTGTGACAATTTGACGATTGTGTTCAGTCACACGCAATAAATTCAGTGTGTAAGAAATGCTGGGGGGTCTTTAAACTGTGTGTTGCTCTCACACATGAGCATTATCCAAATAATTTTTTTGACATTCTCATCTCTGCCTGTCACTGAGAGCAATACTGACCCCACATGGTGATGTAAAAACTGAAACATTTTTAGGAAAATGTGCACAAGTATTTTACGCTTAAAATTATAAAACAGTTGGTAGATCACATGATGAACTATACCTACAGCTACTAACTTCTGAATTCATATGACCAGTAAAAATCACTGCAAAATCAGCTGATTAAAATCTAAAAATGCAAAACTGACTAATTTCTGAAATAAGATCCAGCAGTTGGTTTCAGACGCTACTGGTTATGATATTTTGTTTTTTAAAAACGGATATTTATTGGGGTTACAGTCAAATAAATTAAGGCTAAATAAAGTCCTTATATAAACTTAGTTTATATATGTTTATATAACTTAAACACTATTATAACAATATTTCCCTGTAAAATTGCTTTGAAACACTGTGAAAAGTACTATATAAATAAAAGTTACTTGACATTCAGACTATATGACTTAAATGGATAGTTCACTCAAAAGAAAAATAAAAGAGGATATAATATGTCTTAGTGTACTTGTCCATACAATGGAAGTCAATGATAAGCCAAACTGTTTGCTTCTTCAAAACATAATTTTTCTGTGTTACAAAGAAAAAAGGGTAACACTTTATTTGAAGGGGTGTGCATAAGACTGACATGACACTGTCATAAACATGACATAACACCTGTCATGAACATGAAGTAGTCTTTATGAATGTTTATGACTGTTGTCATTAAGTGTCATTCGGTAAATTATGACACTCTTAATGCAAAGTTGACATTGTTTAAATTGTCTTTGTTATGACAACTTGACATTACCAAAGACAGAAATGTCTTTGTTATGACAACTTGACATTAACCAAGAAATCATAACCTGACATCTTTATGTCCAACGTGTTCCACTTTACTTGAGGTAAGGGGAAATATTAATGACACTGTTGTTAAAGCATTTGACAGTGTAATAACCCTTAATGACATCTTTATGACTAGTAAAATGTGTTCCACTTTACTTGAGGACAAGTAAAATATTCATGACAGAGTTATGGTGTCATGACGGCCAAAGTTAAAACCAACCACATATGACAGGGTAATGTAATGTTAACGCAAAGCTAAATAACTTCTTTAAGTTTGATAATTAGACCTGTTATGACATATTTGTGACAGGTTATGATTTCTTGGTTAATGTCAAGTTGTCATAACAAAGACATTTCTGTCTGTGTTAATGTCAAGTTGTCATAATCAAGACATTTTTGTCTTGGCTAATGTCAAGTTGTCATAACAAAGACATTTTAAACAATGTCAACGTTGCATTAGAAGTGTCATAATTTACCGAATGACACTTAATGACAAAAGTCATAAACATTCATAAAGACTCCTTCATGTTCATGACAGGTGTTATGTCATGTTTATGACAGTGTCTTGTCAGTCTTATGAACACCCCTTCAAATAAAGTGTTACCGAAAAAAGTTATACAGGTTTGGAATGAGGGTTAATGACGGCAGAATTTTCATTTTTGGGTGAACTATATCCCTTTAAAGTAGAAAACAAACAAATATAAACATACTTAAAGTTGTCCGGGTGCTGGTTAAGGGCGAGTTTTAGAGTATCAAGAGCATGTTGGTAGTGTTTCTGGGCACTGAGTAGTAGAGCCAGCAGGTGTAGAGAGTGCAGATCATCCCCACGAACATTCAGAGCCAACTCCAACGGCTTCATCGCTTCTGACACCTACCACAAACACAAGAGGTCAAATTAGGGACCAGCACTGACTGAAATTACAGGTGAACTATTACACATACATTCAAGTTCATACAAGTTCAAAATATGATAAGATAATGACTTTGACAGTCATATTGTGTGTAAACAAAAGCTACAAAAATAAGGAGAGAGATTCATGTACATTTCTTTTCTTGTAAAAAACAGAAATCTGATATCATCATGCGATTCTGCATCTAGTCAGCAAGACTGATGTGTTAACATGCTAACCTGTCGAACCAGAGCGAGCTGCAGAGACAGGCAGAAGGAGATCTGAGGGTCCTGAGGATCCAGCGATTGTGCTCTGCAGTCAAAAAACAAGTCTATGTGAAGTCTTCATCAGTCTGACATCTGCCAGTCATCTCACATCTGACCCTTCGCTAAGTTTACACTCTGGAATTAACTGTGATGTTAAATTATATAGTGAACGGGATTAAAAACAATTTAATTTGAAACCAATTGCTAACAGATTAAATTAGTGTAAATGAACAGAAGTTTGTATGACCCTTCAATTTGGGCAAGGGTCTAAAAGATTCCATGATTTTAATATTTAAAAAATATGCTCACTGTGAATAGTGATTTTGTTACGTTTACATTCACCAAATTAGTCATCAATTTCAGTGTTTTTTATCCACAAGTTTCCGAGGGGCGCTCATGTAAAAAATAAAGTGGGTGAAACTTCCGGTGAGGCGGCGGAAGTAGCATTCCAATGGTATTTTGTGTGTTAGTTAGCGAAGAGGCTAGCTGTTTTTCTGAGAATTATTTTACTATTTAAAGACGCCAATCTTTATGAGAGATGTCGTTACGGAGCTCAGGGACAACATGCGCTGTTCGCGGTTGTATGTATAACCGGACTAAACTAATTCAGTGGCTTAAACGTGATTGTTTTGAACATAAGCTGAAAACGAAATCACAGTGAACCTACCAACGACTGAAGTTTCCATCAACCTCCCAAAAGACGAAGTATCTTCCTGTGTACATTTGTTTAAATTCTTAATATTCTATAAACTCTATCAGCATGTGTTTGGCTGTTCTCTACTGATGTTACACCTAAACTCAGGATCAAAGCCTGTGTTGACAGAATACCAAATGTGCCAGTTAATGTATTCAAGTAGCACATTCATTTATAATTTTGAATAAACTCCAAAGCACAATGACTAAGTGTGTATTTTTATTTTAATTGTTTGTCAGCTCGCACAACTGTCTGTCAACATGCCTTGATGAGTATTGATTATTAATAATGTTATTATAATACTCCCAATCAACTACTGCGGAGGGTAAAGGCACTGTTATTTCACCCTTTTTAATTTCGTTGAGGTTGTGTTCCCACATCGTTAGCTAGTTTGGATCGCTATAACTTGAATGACCGTCAACTGTTGAATGAACGAGTGTCAAGCATGTCAAGTAGCGCTTTGTTTACTTCAAACCGGAAGTCGCGCCCACTTTTGACGCAAGGCCTCATGGGGCGTAGGAAACTTGTGGATATAAACTGATCAATGACGTGATTATTTTCTTCTATCGACAGCACAAGTTTTTAATAGAAAGTAAATACAATATATATAACTACTGTTCAAAAGATTTTTTTTAAAGAATTAATTTTATTTACCAATTGATCAAGAATAGCAGTAAAGTCTTTTATATTTGTTACAAATGTCTATTTAAAATAAATGCTGTTGAACAGCTGTTGCCGTTTGAACTTTCTATTCATCAAAAAAATGTATCACGGTTTGCACACAAATATTAAGCTGTCCAACTGTTTTCAACATCGATAATAATAACTTGTAATAAATGTTTCTTGAGCAGCAAATCAGCATATTAAAATTATTCCTGAAGGATCATGTGTGACACTGAACACTGGAGAAATGATGCTGAAAATTCAGGAACAAATAATAGTTTTGAAACTATATTAAAATAGACAACTGCTATTTTTAAATTGTTATAATATTTGACAACATTCCTGTTTTTATTGTTTTAACTGATTAGTGATCAGATAAATGCAGCCTGGGTGAGTTTAAGAGACATCTTTCGAAAACATACAAAAATATAATAAAATCGTACGGACCCCAAACTTTTTAAACAGTGGTGTAGTTTTGAGAATAAAACTAATTTCAGTGTGTTTTACAGTATTATTAATAACAGTTCTGCAATCAACTTAGGTGAGGTTTAGAAAAGGCTTTAAGAGTCCAAACAATTACAAAACAAAGTGGGTGGCTGAAGCCTCCTAAACACAATCTGAAGTGAAAAAGGTAAACATCAAGCGTACTTCCGTAGTGACTGCAGCGCTCTTCTGTTGAACTCATCGCGGTCTGCTTTCAGAGTGGCTGCAAACACACAGTTAAACAGTGAGTCACCACAGACACGAGAGAGGGAGCAGAGAGCAGATGAGGACAGCCGGAGGCCTGGCTCATTTTGTAGGTTCAGAGAAGGATAAACGGGCTTACCGTCAGTTGCCTGCATACTACGGCACAGTCCTATGGCCAGATGAGCTTGTGGAAGAGACTCTCCAGCACACTCTCCTAAAGCAACCACACCTGCTGCGAGGGACACTGCATCCTCCAGCTGACACACACATTTAAACATGCATTAGACATCTGGATGATTTATATCTGTGGTTATCAACTTGTGATGATGTGATATATTAGAGCTGTGGCATAGTGGTTAACACCGAAGCAGGAAACTGAAAGGTTATGAGTTTGAATCCAACATCATCATTGACCATAAACTATAACTAAAGAAAGTCAAAGTCACTTTGAACAAAAGCATAAGCTAAATAAAAAAATACCAATATTTTACATTAAAATGTGTAATATACACAGTTCAGCAGCCATGCATTACTCCAGTGTCACATGATCTCTCAGAAATCATTCTAATATGCTGATTTGGTGCTGAAGAAACATTTATCATTATGTTGAATGTTCAAAACGGGTTTTTTTTTTAAACCGTGACATATGCTACGGACGCATTAAATTGATCAAAAGTGACATTAAAGACATTTTTTAAGGTTACAAAAGATTTTTATTTCAAATAAATGCTGTTCATAGAATTTTCTATTAATCAAATAATCCTAAAAAAAATCTTTATCGCGGTTTCCACAATATAATAAGAACCATTTTTAATAATTGAGTACCAGTAATAACTGAGCACTAAATTAACATAAATAAATTAAATTTTAAAATATAATAAAACAGTACTTTAAATTGTAATAATATTTCACAAGATTACTTTAATTTACTCTTTTGTGAGTTTTATTGAGCCTTGGTGTGACGCTGTGCGGAGAAATAGCGCTGAGACTGGATCCAAATGCAGTGTAGCTTTAATCAGAAACTTGAAACAGGAAACAAGACAAGAAGCAAGACTAGCAAGAATACAAAAACACCAACGTTCACACACATAAATTCAACAACCAACAAAGACAGGGCAGAAACACAGGGCTTAAATAATAAAGGACAAACGAGCTAGACAAGATAACAAGGGGGCGTGAGAAATGAGAAACACCTGGGATAAATAATAGACGGGCAATAACTAATAACGAAAACACACACAATCACTTCGTGACACTTGGTGAGCAAAAGAAACGTCTTTTTAAACCATTAAAAAAATCGTATTTATTCAAAATTTTTGATCTGTATAGCTTAGTGTAGAAAAGAAAAAGAAAAACTTTTTAGGTCATGCCAACTGCCCAAAATTTGACGGCAAATTGTGACATATCCCTACAAGTAATCATGCATTCACATTATATATCATTCATATGAGCATAATAAGCTGACTTTCTGTCATTTGATATTCATTAATTTAAATGCTAGACATGTTGACATGAATCAGCATCAAGGACAACTGCCCGAGGAGAAGTTGCATTAAAACGTTTTGATGCAGGGATGATAAAGGGGGGCTCTAAAGTGTGACTGGGATGGCATGCAATCTGACAGTAAAGCCTATGCATCATGTTTCTGTGACTATACGGCACTATTGTGCTATAAGCCTCTTATGGCATGCGGTCTGTATTCAGCATTCACCAGATGTGCCCTAATCTCTGTAGTGTGTATTTGATTGATAGTGTCGTGACTGTACATTGCATTGTCTTATTGGTGTGGCAATGTTACTAATGTTGTAACACAGAGGTCAATTACAGTATTAGTGATTGAATCTGGGCCCCCATCTAAGACTGAGTGATACTGTACACTGAATATTATTAAAAAAAACTGAAAATACAGATTTAATGTTTGTCATACCATAAAAAATAAAGTTATAAGAATAGCTAGTATTTAAATAAATATGTTAGGATTATATAGGATTTAAGTATTCGGATTTAAGGACTTATAGATGGCAAAATAAATGAATTTACCTGAAATGCACATTGCTTATTTCATTTCATAGTCTTCATCATATTCAATCATTTTGCTGGAAAGTACCCAATGATTCAAAAAGTTTGGCGTTTGTAAGATTTTTTTATGTTCTTGGAATAAGTCTCTTATGCTCACTCAGGCTGCATTTATTTGATCAAAACTACAGAAAAAAAGCACAATATTTTTTAAGTATTGTTACAATTTAAAATAGCTGATTTCATTTCTATGTGAATTAATTAATAATTTAATTTATTTGTGTGAAACAAAACGGAATTTTCAGCATAATTCCTCCTGCCTTCAGTATCACATGATCCTTCAGAAATCATTCTTACTGATTTGGTGCTCAAGGAACTTTTCTTATTACTATCAATGCTGAAAACAGTTAAGCTGCTTACTATTTTCGTGTTTCATGATACATATTTTCCCCAGGATTCATTGATTAATAGTGCAGTATTTACTTTTGATCAATTTAATGTGTCTATGGCTGCTGAATAAAAGTTTATATATAAATATACACTCACCTACAGGATTATTAGGAACACCATACTAATACTGTGCTTGACCCCATTTCACCTTCAGAACTGCCTTAATTCTATGTGGCATTGATTCAACAAGGTGCTGAAAATTCTTTAGAAATGTTGGCCCATATTGATAGGATAGCATCTTGCAGTTGATGGAGATTTGTGGGATGCACATCCAGGGAACGAAGCTCCCGTTCCACCACATCCCAAAGATGCTCTATTGGGTTGAGATCTGGTGACTGTGGGGGCCATTTTAGTAAAGTTTTACAGTGAACTCATGTTCAAGAAACCAATTTGAAATGATTTGAGCTTTGTGACATGGTGCATTATCCTGCTGGAAGCAGCCATCCTAGGATGGGTACATGGTGGCCATAAAGAGATGGACATGGTCAGAAACAATGCTCAGGTAGGCCGTGGCATTTAAACGATGCCCAATTGAATTGTAACAGGCCTAAAGTGTGCCAAGAACTCATCCCCCACACCATTACACCACCACCACCACCAGCCTGCACAGTGGTAACAAGGCATGATGGTCTCATTCTGTTTACGCCAAATTCTGACTCTACCATCTGAATGTCTCAACAGAAATCGAGACTCATCAGACCAAGCAACATTTTTCCAGTCTTCAACTGTCCAATTTTGGTGAGCTCTTGCAAATTGTAGCCTCTTTTTCCCAATTATAGTGGAGATGAGTGGTACCCGGTGGGGTCTTCCTGCTGTTGTAGCCCATCCGCCTCAAGGTTGTGCGTGATATGGCCTCACAAATGCTTTGCTGCATACCTCGGTTGTAACGAGTGGTTATTCCAGTCAAAGTTGCTCTTCTATCAGCTTGAATCACTCGGCCCATTCTCCTCTGACCTCTAGCATCAACAAGGCATTTTCACCCACAGGACTGCCGCATTCTGTATGTTTTTCCCTTTTCACAAAATTCTTTGTAAACCCTAGAAATGGTTGTGTATGAAAATCCCAGTAACTGAGCAGATTGTGAAATACTCAGACCGGCCCGTCTGGCACCAACAACCATGCCAAAATTGCTTAAATCACCTTTCTTTCCCATTCTGACATTCAGTGTGGAGTTCAGGAGATTGTCTTGACCAGAACCACACCCCTAAATGCATTGAAGCAACTGCCATGTGATTGGTTGATTAAATAATCGCATTACTAACAAATTGAACAGGTGTTCCTAATAATCCTTTAGGTGATTGTATATATTGGTAGTGTATGTTTAGAGACTGAAACTCTTGGAACTTTAACTGAATTTAATTGCTCTATAAAACTGTGTGACATTTTTGTATATAAGATACATTTTTTTGCAGGATGAATATGTAATATGCATGCATATTGTTCATACTGTATGTGCTTGATGTGTTTCGCTCGCATTAATGTTTGCCTACAGCACAACCACTGGCTCTGCACCCCAATATCTTAACTCATTACTTCAGACCTACATGCCCTCCAGAAACTTGCAAGTAAACTTGCCTTATGGCACCATCCTAAAACAAAATCCCTTTCACGGACCTTTACCTTGACTGTTCCAAGCTTATCTCAGAGTCTTTAGCCATCTTCAAGAATCTACTAAAGATGCATTTCTTTCGTCCAACATTTGACTCAGTAGTACGAACACCTAATTTAAAAAAAAATAAAAAATCTGTGCCACGTGTGCTGCCCTGGTCTCGCCGAGTTTGGTCAAGACATTTGCATATTGTTGATTTGACTGCCTCTATTGCTCTCTTCATTTGTAAGTCGCTTTGGATAAAAGCGTCGGCTAAACGATTAAATGTAAATGTTTTTCTCACCCAGTGTAGCTGGTTGATGCACACTTTTGCTGCAAGCAGAGGTGGAATGGGGTCCTGTGGTTTCATCGTCACACACTCTTTGAGGACTGACACTGCACCCTCATTCTGTACAATATCATTAATAATACAGGTTTTATTCATTTATAGATGCAGACATGTAAGTTAAACACAGGGTCATTTTAGAGTATCGCAATGTACATCTGTAACATTCTTGTTTGTATAAGGTTAATAACACTGACAAGTGGAGAGCACAACGGTTATGCATTTGAGACTTCTGAAACTATATACATCTACGACAAAACACTAAAAGAAAAATGCAGAGTGGGAATTACCGTCACTGAACACTGCAGTTGACGATTTGTGGTCAGTTACTAAACAAGTATCTGTAACTTTCTAGCACTGCGTTGTTTCACATTGTACACATATGGCAATTCAGACTCAGGGGTTATAGTTAAAGGGATAGTTCAACCAAAAATGCAAATTCTCTCATTATTTACCCACCCTCCTTCCAACCCGGATGTACAGTATCTGACTTTTTTTCTGCAGTTGAACACAAAGATTTCTAGAATCTTCTTGTGAAGCAAACGACAGGTGGGGATAAGATACAAATAATTTTTTTAATACAAAGCATCACTTCTGGCCAACTGTTAAATGCATATTGAAAGGGTCAAGTTTACACTTAAGGTAAACATACTGTAAAGCATGTCATGAAGACATGGAATTGCACTAAGGAACATTTATACGAACTCATTTAAACACGTTTAATTTGTATAAAACCTTATGTATTTTGTTTCTTTCAGTTACTTAATCTTTTATTTTGTTGATTTAGCAACAAATGAATAATGAAATGAATAGAACATTGATGATGACAAGAGGACACGAATCTCACCTTCCCACTTGCCATCAAAGACAAGCCAAGTTGGTACCAAAGATGAAACTCATTATAGGAGAACTTCATGGCCCGCTCCAAACACTGATGGCAAACATAGAGCACAACAAAGTCAGAGAACAACTTTGAATCATGGAATCAGCCTTCCAAGAAACACTAGAGAAGAAATAAAGCTAAATGATAATGGATCATTCCGTGTCTCAACCAGATCGGCCCTCGGCTGATATAATTGATTTAGATTTTTTTTTTCTGGTGAAAGAAATACATAAATGAAGAAGAAAGCCAAAATATTCAATGTCATGAATGTAACTGAGTAATCCGCTATTTTGTGGAGGGGGTCAAAAGAGTCTTTGAGCCACTTTACATGGTGGGTAAAATGACATTATTATTTTATTTTTTTACAGAGAGATTGGTAGGTCTATTATTTAAATCTGTTGACTTTATAAATCTTTGTTGCATTACATGCCAACGGCGAGAGTTAAAAATGGGAAAAAGCACTTTAGTTTTGGATTCCAGTAAGTCCATAAGTATTAAAGCTATCTTAATATCCCTGTAGATTCTGGTTCTTAACAAACTTTTCTTTTGGTATCTTCATTTTAAAGGCCCTCCATGGTTCAATCCCAGAGATATGGAAATCTTAATTTAATCTAAAGTTTCCATAAAGTAAATGGTCATTGTACACATATTTAGTGGTTGAAAACCAAATATGGGTGTCACGGTGCGGGTGCAGGCAGAAGAACAGACGGGTACAGAATCTCGGTAGAGAGACATTTATTTCCAAAACAGGCAGGAAGATGGGATACACGGCGTAACATGGAACATTGACCGACAAAACTGAAACAAACTGGACTGAACTAAATACACAGAGGAATCAGGGTTAATGAGGTGAACACAGGTGAAAAAGATAATGACAGGACGAGGAACAGGTGGCTGATTGGGGAGTGAGTCCGGGAGAGGAACAAAAGGATCCGGGGAAGTGTGGTGCAGATGACAAGACAGGACGGTGAGCACGACAGACTGTGACATTACTCCCCCCTCCCGGAAGGCGTGGCCTCACGCCATAACATCAATGGGGAGGGGGGGGGTGGGCACCCTGGAGGCTGTGGAGGGCGTGGTCAGGAGGAGACAGCCCCCCAGGGCGGAGCAGGATGAGGGCGAGGCCAGGGCGGAGCAGGCTGAGGGCGTGGCCAGGGCGGAGCAGGCTGAGGGCGTGGCCAGGGCGGAGCAGACTGAGGGCGTGGCCAGGGCAGAGCAGACTGAGGGCGAGACCAGGGCGGCGCAGGCTGAGGGCGAGACCAGGGCGGAGCAGCTGGAGGGAGGACCCCTGGTGGAGCCGATGGTAGTGGGGCTGACAACACCAGGGGGCCGACTGACAGGGGCGGAGCGGATGGGAGAGGAGACCAGGGTGCAGCAGAGGGACCGACGACATGTGGTGCTGATGAGGGACTGAGGGGACATGGTGATACCGTAGGCTCTGGTGACTGAAGTGATGACAGGGGCACGGAGGGACACAGTGAGGTCAGAGGGCGTGAGGGCTGACGGGTGACTGGAGGGAGTGAGGAGTCCGACAGAACCGGGGGGGTGACATGACGGGGCGGAGCCAGAGGAATGAAGTCCAAAGGTGAAGGGAGGACGACGAGGGAGCGAAGGGAGTCCGGAGGGTCGAGGGAGCCTGGCCGAGCTGGTGGACTGAGGGACCATGGAGGAGCTGAGGGAGGTAGGAGCCACGGGGGAGCCAATGGGACCGGGGGCCGAGGAAGTGTCCAAATGGGGGAGGTGTGAGGCGAAGGCCAGGGATACACGGACCAGGCTGGTTTCGGGGGGCTGAAGGGCAGGAGAGCAGAGGGAGGACAGATGAGAGGAGGCGGGAGAGGAAGGCTGGGCGGGATCCTGGTCTCTGGCGCCGGCTGGACGGTCTCTGGCGTTGGCTGGACGGACTCTGGCGCTGGCTGGACGGTCTCTGGCGCTGGCTGGACGGTCTCTGGCGCTGGCTGGACGGTCTCTGGCGCTGGCTGGACGGTCTCTGGCGCTGGCTGGACGGTCTCTGGCGCTGGCTGGACGGTCTCTGGCGCTGGCTGGACGGTCTCTGGCGCTGGCTGGACGGTCTCAGGCGCTGGCTGGACGGTCTCTGGCGCTGGCTGGACGGTCTCTGGCGCTGGCTGGACGGTCTCTGGCGCTGGCTGGACGGTCTCTGGCGCTGGCTGGACGGTCTCTGGCGCTGGCTGGACGGTCTCTGGCGCTGGCTGGACGGTCTCTGGCGCTGGCTGGACGGTCTCTGGCGCTGGCTGGACGGTCTCAGGCGCTGGCTGGACGGTCTCTGGCGCTGGCTGGACGGTCTCTGGAGAGCTGGACGGAACCAGCAGTGAAGAGCATACAGTCTCTGGAGGGCTGGACGGAACCAGCTGTGAAGAGCATACAGTCTCTGGAGGGCTGGACGGAACCAGCAGTGAAGAGCATACAGTCTCTGGAGGGCTGGACGGAACCAGCTGTGAAGAGCATACAGTCTCTGGAGTGCTGGACGAAACCAGCAGTGAAGAGCGTTCGGGCTCAACAGGACTGACGGGGGGCACAGACTTCCGGGGAACGAGACGCAACCGGGGTCGCAAGACCGGGTAGGGAATCCCCCGGAAGATCACGACGTCCCTGTTGTCTGGAGGGCTGGACGGAACCAGCAGTGAAGCGCATACAGTCTCTGGAGGGCTGGGCGGAACCAGCAGTGAAGAGCATACAGTCTCTGGAGAGCTGGACGGAACCAGCAGTGAAGAGCATACAGTCTCTGGAGAGCTGGACGGAACCAGCGGTGAAGAGCATTCAGGCTCAAAAGGACGGACGGTGAGCGCGGGCTCGGCAGGGCTGACGGTGAGCGCGGGCTCGGCAGGGCTGACGGTGAGCGCGGGCTCGACAGGGCTGTCGGTGAGCGCAGACTCAGCAGGGCTGACGGTGGGCGCAGACTCGACAGGGCTGACGGTGAGTGCGGGCTCGGCAGGGCTGACGGTGAGCGCAGACTTCCGGGGAACAAGCTGTAACCGGGGTCGCAGGACCGGGTAGGGGATCCCCCGGAAGATCACGGCGTCCATGTAGGTTTTTAGGTCGGTCAATCTGTCACGGTGCGGGTGCAGGCAGAAGAACAGACGGGTACAGAATCTCGGTAGAGAGACATTTATTTCCAAAACAGGCAGGAAGATGGGATACACGGCGTAACATGGAACATTGACCGACAAAACTGAAACAAACTGGACTGAACTAAATACACAGAGGAATCAGGGTTAATGAGGTGAACACAGGTGAAAAAGATAATGACAGGACGAGGAACAGGTGGCTGATTGGGGAGTGAGTCCGGGAGAGGAACAAAAGGATCCGGGGAAGTGTGGTGCAGATGACAAGACAGGACGGTGAGCACGACAGACTGTGACAATGGGTCACTTTGCATGCAGCTGATTTTTTTTTTTTTAAAGAGGAATATCTTAACAACAAATAATTAATCTCGTTTTTTTTTTTTCTATCAACACAATGGCATAGAACATATCTGAGTGCCATAAATATAATATTTCCAAAGTTTGCGTTCATGTAACTCTAAAAGTATTAAAGACATCTTGATATCCTTCTAGATTCTAACTCTTAATAAACTATTCTTTTAGAATCTTCATTTTTTAATCCCCATTTGGTTCAATCACACATATATAGAGATTTCAATGTGGTAATGTGTAGTTACCGATGATGATACTGCATAATTGAACTCTTGGTAGCTTCAGAAGCTGTTAAAATGAACAAAATCCTTTCATCCAAATATCCCTAAACCTGGTTAAAATATAGAATCTTAGAAATACACTTTTGCGAGAAAGTTAATGTGCCTCAACTTGACCATTTCAGTGAATTTTTGGCAGGTGTGTTACATGCAATTTTTCTGATGGAGGGAAACAACATACATTTACTAGAATAAAGTAAAGGCATTCAGCTTTAAATCCAATAAGTATCAGCTTTTAAAAGAAAAGTGCTCTTCAACCACTAAAAATGTGTGTAATTGACCAATTAACTTTATGGAAACCCATTAAGATCTCCATATCTCTGGGATTGAACCATGGAGGGCCTTTACAATTAAGAAACCAAAAGAAAAGTTTGTTAAAAACCAGAATTTAAAAGGATTTTAAGATATCTTTAATACTTATTGAGTTACAGGCAAAAACTTGGGGCACAAAACACAAGTAGTGCTTTTCCCATTTTTGAACTGTCACTGTTGGCATATAATGCAACAAAGATTGCAAAAGTTAACAGATTTTACTAATAGACCTACCAATCTCCATGCTTTAAATCTCAGGTAAAAAAATAGTAGATTACTCAGTCAATACACAATAATTACATTTAATGTAAATTAATTTAAATTAGGAAACAAGCTTTGTTGCATTATTTTCCTGTTATCCCTGTAAAGCTGCTGCTGATTGTAAACAATCTGTATTGTAAAAAGCGCCATATTAATAAAGGTGACTTGACGTCACTATTTATGGTTGTCTTTCTTCAGAAAAAATTATGAACAAAATTCAAAGTTTCATCCGGGGAATTTCTGAAATTTAGTTGATTTGACATGGAATGACCCTAATGTGGTTGACATTGCTCAGCATTTCTAGAAAGGATATTGTTGTTTTCAGAACCGATAGGGGATTGTGTGTATCCTGTACACATCACATCATGGCACATGCATGAGAGAGTGGGGATAAAATTGATGAGAACAGGATTAACATTTCTATGCAGGCATTTGTTGATAATGGCGAGTAATGGCAGTGTAATGTGGCTTTTCAGTGAAATGACATGGATTCAGTTGAAATGAACCTACTGAAAACACTGAGCTTAGATTCAGATTCACCTGAGAACGTCTCTGAGTAAACGCTCACCATCACGCAACGGCTCAACTACTGAAAGGACAGGGCGGAGGAAGAAGGGAAAACAATCACCCATACAGCTAGGAGAAATTGAGAGAGAGATTGAAAGATTGGAAGAGGCGAGTTGCGAAGAAAAAGAAGGTGAAAGAAGCCACTACATAAAATTCAGGTCACTTTCTTGCTCCTGTTTACAAAGCATGGGGTCGATACTGATCTGTGCTGACACATCTTACCTCGGACAGCATGGAGTACTGCCCCCTCCTGGCCATGCCGATGCTCAGCAGGTCATAGACCGAGGAGGCGTCCTGCATGCTGCTCTCCCTCGCCTCCCGGTGCTCTGGGGTGCGGCTGATCACTGCCTCGCCACTGGCCTATACGGGACAACAGAGAGAGCCTCAGGAGTTTTGTTAAAGCTGTGTCTCTAGATCCTAGTCTACAGTCCCTGACAAAAGTCTTGTCGCTTATCTATTTTGTAGATTTTGTGGACACCTGCTATTAACCTGACTTTAAATTAATCAATTGGATTTAGAAATAGCTCATATGAAAAGCTAAAACCCTCCCAAATTATGTTTAATGCACTGAAATAAATTAGTTTCACTGAAAGAAGATTTATCATTTAAACAAGACAGAAAGGTCAAATTTTGGCAAGACAAAAGTTTTGTCGCCTATACAGAAACTGAACAAATTAACTGCAAATACAAAAATATGTCAGCAAATTGAATAGTGGTGCTGTGAGATCCAAATTTAATATCTTGTATGACTTCCATGAGCTTGAAGGACTGCATCCATGCGGTTTGGCAAGGATTCATACAATTTATTGATGAAGTCATCAGGAATAGCAAAGAAAGCAGTCTTGCATGCCTCCCAGAGTTCATCAATATTCTTTGGTTTCGTCTTCCACGCTTCCTCTTTCAGCTAAGATTTCTTGGTATTTTAGACAAGACTTGATATTGTGCTTCACCCCAATTGCCAAGGCTCACAACCTGCTAAAAGGATGGATGCTGGAAAAGTGGAAGAAGGTGGATTTTTCAGATGAATCTTCTGTTGAATTACACCACAGTCGCCGCAAATATTGCAGGAGACCTACTGGAGCCCGCATGGATCCGAGATTCACCCAGAAAACAGTGAAGTTTGGTGGCGGAAAAATCATGGTCTGGGGTTACATCCAGTATGGGGGTGTGCGAGAGATCTGCAGGGTGGAAGGCAACATCAATAGTCTAAAATACCAAGAAATCTTAGCTACCTCTTATATTCCCAACCATAAAAGAGGCCAAATTCTGCAGCAGGATGGTGCTCCATCGCATTCTTCCATCTCCACATCAGAGTTCCTCAAGGCGAAGAAGATCAAGATGCTCCAGGATTGGCCAGCCCAGTCACCAGACATGAACATCATTGAGCATATGTGGGGTAGGATGAAAGAGGAAGCGTGGAAGACGAAACCAAAGAATATTGATGAACTCTGGGAGGCATGCAAGACTGCTTTCTTTGCTATTCCTGATGACTTCATCAATAAATTGTATGAATCCTTGCCAAACCGCATGGATGCAGTCCTTCAAGCTCATGGAAGTCATACAAGATATTAAATTTGGATCTCACAGCACCACTATTCAATTTGCTGACATATTTTTGTATTTGCAGTTAATTTGTTCAGTTTCTGTATAGGCGACAAAACTTTTGTCTTGCCAAAATTTGACCTTTCTGTCTTGTTTAAATGATAAATCTTCTTTCAGTGAAACCAATTTATTTCAGTGCATTAAACATCATTTGGGAGGGTTTTAGCTTTTCATATGAGCTATTTCTTTTGTCAGGGACTGTAGGAGAACCTTCAGGACTGATGATTCTCGTATCTGACACATCTGATTCAACTCATCAGCTTATTAGTGAAATGTTCAAGAACCGAATTGTGTACATATACAACCAAATACAAAACGCCTTAAGCAAACAGTCTACTTACACTCTAATAAGAGTTCATTCATATGTAATTGCAATGTTACTTATAGTTAGTAGAATGTCTAAGATTTTTCATTTGTTTGTCAGATACTTTTTATCTAAAGCAGTTAAATAAATGTTAGATTCTAAATACTACATTTGATATTCATATCCTTTTATATTCCACTGTTAAAATAACACCACATAAGCCTTGAGGGTGAGTAAATATTGACAGGATTTATTTATTTATTTATTTTTTTTGGTGAACTATCCAGCTTCAACACCCTTAATATTTCATAACATTTTATTTTGATCCTCCTCCAGTAGACATTCAACTGAATATAAGTAACTCTATATGTCAACTACCAGTCATTAGAGTATTAGCAGTGTCTACTTAATTTCTGCTAACACTTTAATTTGATGCTTCTTCAAAAGATATTCTACTGACTATAAGTACATTTTCAACTATGTCAACTTATTACAAACACCAAACAGTCTACTATCAGTCTACTACGGTAAACAAATATTCTATGGAGAGTTAGTTGACGTGTAGTTGCAAAGTTTCTTATAATTAGTAGAATCGAAATAAAGCATAACCACATTTTATATGATTAAAAACAACATCCATAGTTGCATATTACATTAAAGCCCTTGATGTTAAAAATGCACAGTTTTGCCACAGTCAGAAACCACTGGTGAAAACCAAATAGTAACACTTTATTTTAGGGTTCAATCATAACTATTAACTAGTTGCTTATTAGCATGCATTCTTCTAGGATATTGGCTGTTTATTAGTAGTTATAAAGCACACATTAATGCCTTATTCTGTGACCATATTCTATATCACTTAATTATACCCAATACCTAAACTTAAAAGCTACAAAACTACCATATTACTTATTAATAAGCAGGAAATTAGGAGTTAATTGAAGCCAAAAGTCATAGTTAGTGTGGAAAGATATAAATGTGGAAATGAATCCTACATATCTGAAGATTTCTGATAGAAAACATTTCTGCAAGAAAACAGCAATAAACAGCATTTATTTGATTAAAAACACAGTAAAAACTCGAAAAAATTGGAAATATAATTACCATTTATATTAATCATTTTTTTATTCTAAAAGGTAATTTATTCCTTCCTAATTTTCTGATGGCAAAGCTCAATTATCCGCATAATTACCCAATTTTGAGTATCGCATGATCCTTCAGAAATCTAATCTAATTCTAATATGCTGATTTAATGCCCAATAAATATTTCTTATTAATATCAATGTTGAAAACAGTTTCCTATTTTTTTGAAAACCGTAAAAAAACAACAACAATTCAGGATTCTTTATATAGTGTATATTATAAATGTCTTTACTATCATTAATGACCAGGTGGTGAATAATGCATGTACTGTAACTGTTTCGCACTTGGCTCCTACATAATAAAATGGTCTTTCTTTCTGATAATGTTTGAGGCTCAGACACTCTCTCTGTTTAAATCAGATAAAACATGTATCTCTTTAGCCAAGCATTCACATTATGCTTCTCATAAATTTGTACTAGAATTATCTGATGAAACAGTACCAAATATAATATTTTGCCTATAATGGATCGCAACTTTGGATCGACATTCAAAACTTTAAAAAACTATCCTCATATTATAAAATGACCCTTATATTGTAATAATTACGAGTATAAGTTGTAATTGCTGTTTAGCATGTTTGTTGTGTTAGCTTAGCTTAACTGAATACATGAAGATAACTAACCACACAATGAACTATATTATAACTGTGTATTACTGCCATATGGATATTACTTAGATACACTCATCTCTGGTCGATAACAGAATACTTACTATATTGTAACATTGAAACAATATAGCTGCTTTGAATCGATAAGCATTGTGATAGTGCTAAACAAATAAACTTTAATTGAATTAAACTGAACTGTTTGCCTGGCAAATAAAGTATATTCAGGGCCATCCAACCTCATCCCCCTTTTGAGGACAATTTAGAGGTCACACTAAACTATGTATGGAAAAGAGGAGCATTCTTAAAAAAATCTACCTAAAAATAACAACTTATGGGTTTGAAACAAAATGAAGGTGATTTGATAAGTAAATTATTAAGATTAAAATATTATTAATATATTCAGATTTGTCAGTGAACTATTCCTTTATACTATACAGTATTCATGCACTAGTTCTTAAGATGCAGCTAAAAAGAAGAGATGCACAGCATGTCAAGGAAGAAAGGATGAATGCGAGAAAGACCGTCTCACCATTGACTCTGTGATGAGGAGCACCAGCACCGCCTCTTCAACCACGTCCTGCGGACAGAAAGCTCTACAGGGTGGCAACAGGAAAAAAGAAAAAAAGAAAAAACACGTCACAAGTGTGTGTGTGTGTCAGTCTCTAGTTACATATGTCAGTCTGAGCTCACAGGACTTACTGCCATCCTCACAGCTGTCCCCTTATTAAAATGTTTAATTGGTCTCCTGAACAATTTCCTCTTTCTTTACAGCCTGTTCTCTCTCATCCCTTTCTTTCCATCACATCCCTTCATTTCCATGACATCCCATCCCATGTTACTGAGCTGTACCAGGAATAATAAACTGGAATATTCCTTTTATCTGTTTTAATTTCTGTTCTTCAGACATATTCTCAAAAGTCTCTCCATCTCTTTTCATTTCTCTTGTATTTTTCCTTTCTCTGCCTGGAGTCTGCAGACTCACAGGTACAGTTACAGTATGTTTTATTCACAACATAGCCTTCTGCCGTGTCCTGAATATTAAAGCAGGCAAACAAACCCAGCACTGTCCTCAGCACATCTCCTTGTTCGAAGCTATCTGACTCTAGTGATCGATCAATATTGTCAAATGGCTGATGTACACAGTACAATTTAATGATAGCAGGGAGATTTACTATACATAAAACTGCTTAAAATTAAGACATTATTCTAGCTTGACAAAGATATGACCCACAAACTCGGCATAGAACTCCAAGATGACTCAGTCTGCTATCTTTTCTAACTGATCTGACTAGCGGTTTTCCTAAACTGAACAATCCTATAGACTTTCATCAAAACTTTCATACAAAAATCTTTTTAGAGAATCTGTCTGTCTATCTGTCTGTCTGTCTGCCACCAGTAAAGCCTAGAAACCTGCTTATTTAACAGGGTAGCAATGTGCTGAAATGCTACAAACATGCTAGAAATGTACTAGCAACATGTTTAAACATGCTAGCAGTGTGCTAAAACATACAGCAACATGATAAATCATGCTAGAAACATGCTAGCATCATACTTAATCATGTTAGCAATGTGTTAAACAGGCTAGAAACGTCTTTAATAACGGCATAAACATTATCATTTTTGTAGAGCAAAGCTCAAATAGGTGGCTATGATATTATTTTGGTAAAAATAGCAGATACCAAACATGCAAGACGTCAGCAAACATGTTATGGTCACCAAATGGTCAATCATCTCAAATTCAAGTGAGTTGTGTTCCGTACCTTCATGGAATAAATTCACTCCAGTATTTAAAGGGGACATATCATGCAAAATCCACTTTTTTAGCCCTTAAATGCATTTTGTTGTATATTTGGAGTGTTTATAAGTACAGAAAAGATGAAATTATTCTCTTCAGGTGCTTCGTTTATATCTTTATATTCTGTTTTGGTCATATTTTTCAACCTGTTCAGATTTTTCTGTTTTCTATGACGTTTTTTGAACAATTACGTCACCGTATTTGCAGCGGAACTGCCAAATAAGGACATTGACTACTGGTCCAACACTTCGAGCAATCTGCCATTATTATTTCTCGCTCCGATTTTGTAGTCCGAGCTCAATGATGCAGAAGTTACGAGAGGGCAAGTCAAAATGTTCGGTTTTTCGATGTAGTGACCTAGGATTCCCACTTCAACAACCTCCGCCAGTAACGTTATACAGAAGGGTTTGCCGATTGACTTCGTCTGAATGAGAGGTAAATTCCTTCTATGTTTGGAGACGACGAACAGAGCATTTCAATACGCTGTAAATATCGTTTATAAAAAATAAAGTACTTTACTTTCTTAAAACACATGGTGGTCATGGGTTTAGCAGTACCTTTGTCTTTCTTTGTTTTTGTTTTGAAGTAACGTTACACGCCTGCAGTATTATTGTTCTTGAGTTTCATCAATGGTCATTTAGCTGCTTTTCTGATGCTTTTCTAAACGTATCATATTATCAATACAGATTTTTTGTGGTAAGATTAGACCGTAGTCATTTATCTTGTCAGTGTGATTGTTTTAACAAGAGAAACAGTCGACTTTCACTAATAACACAAAACAGCTAACTCACATACATCCATATGAAGAGGTTGTTCTGCAGGTTCGTCATCATCTTTATCAACTCGCTCGCTCTGGCTCGAATACGTAAGGCTTGATGGACAAGTCTTCTGTTGTTGACATTTTATTAACGTGTGAATAAAAATGTTCTTTGAAGGTATCGTATATAATCGTATATCTCTAATCAAACTACAATAATGGCTGAACGTAGGGAGTTGAACCGGCCTTGAACTCATCGACCTTGAGAGCGGGCGGGGTATGACGCATCTCCTTTTTATTTAAAGGGGCCGCTTTGAAACGGGTCACTCAAAGACGCACATCAGAAAAGGGGTAGAAAAGGGGCTTGTGGAGCTATAGTAATGAGGAATTCAGACCTAAGCATTGCAGTTATGTTTTATATAGACCACAACGGTATGATTTATATGTAAAAATGAATGATTTAAAGCATGATATGTTCCATTTAAATGCGGTTGTCACTCCTGGAACGTTACAGTGTGTGTGTGTGTGTGACCTTAGCGTTTTTTGAATGCTTTTCATGTGGTTTCTTAGCAGTCTTAGCAGAGTACACCAATATGAAGTAGTATATAATTTGAAGTATGTCTAACAAAAAGTCTAGTATGGTCTAAATGAGTTTTTATTGGTCTGTCTAACTGATTTTTGACTTCTGAATAAACCTTCACAATTCAAGCTTTTATCAGACAGGGCTTTGTCAAGCCACCAACTGTCATCAAACTTTACTCATCTAGTTGTGTTTGTTCTGCTTTTATTTTCTACATGAAAAAGTGAGTAGAATATCAGTGAAAGGAAAGAGTGTCTGACCCCTCAGTGTTGTAGCGCTGTGGTGGTCTGGACGAGGGGTAGATGGCATCTTTGGGGTGTGTGACTCCTTCTTTCTTCAGCCAGCCGGGTGGTGGAGGAGACAGTGGATCCCAGTACGCGTCCTCACACACTGAACCCAGCAACACTTCTGCAAGCCTGCACGCTACTGTCTAAACAACACAAAATAACCACTGACACCTGCTGTGTGTGTAAGTGAGCATCAAACATCTCATTTACTCAGATCTCACCTTACGAAAATTCTGCGACCCCCGACTCTCCACGGCCCTCATGACCCGCCGCAGCTGGTGTGTACCCTGAGCCAAGTGACTAACACACACAGGCAGAAGTGATTGTGGGAGGACAACATGATTGATAAGATGATGAAAGAAAGCTGATGTAACAGAAGGAGAAGATAAGACTGATGGACTGATTGCCATCACAGGATTAAAAAAGAAGAAGATTAAAATAATTCACAGGTGATGTTAAAGGGATACTCCACTTTTTTTGGAAATATGCTCATTTTACAACTCCCCTAGAGTTAAACTGTTGAGTTTTACCTTTTTTGAATCCATTCAGCCGATCTCCGGTTCTGGCGGTCCCACTTTTAGCATAGCTTAGCATACATCACTGAAGTACACAAGACCATTAGCATTTCTCCCCCAAAAAAATTTGCGATGTCTACACAAACTTAGTCCCGGTCATGTTAGAAGCTGGGGACTATTTTCACGCGCTGAATCATATCATTACGCCTGCTGCACTCATGGTACGACAGTGAAGTTTCCTGATTATTACGCAGGAATGAGAGTATAGTTCCTAGTCATATCAGCCTAGAAAATCGCAACTTTACATTTTCCGTCTGTCTTAGTGCACGATGTAACTATAGAAGAGTCAGGTTTTAAATAGAAAAAATATCAAAACACTTTGGTAATTTTTTTGGGGAGAAATGCTAATGGTCTTGTGCACTTCAGTGATGTATGCTAAGCTATGCTAAAAGTGGGACCGCCAGAACCGGAGATCGGCTGAATGGATTCAAAAAAGGTAAAACTCAACAGTTTAACTCTAGGGGAGTTGTAAAATGAGCATATTTCCAAAAAAGTGGAGTATCCCTTTAATTTGTCAATTATTAAATGGATGTTCAAGTCATACGTAGTTTACACGTAGTTTTTTAAATGTAATCTTACACCCTTGTCTCATTTACTACACATGATTCTATGAATATGCAACTTAGCCCCGCCTCCACTCACTCACACCAGCTCAGAGATCCACTCATTAAAAAATGCCTGATTGGACATCACCAGTGATATCAAAACACGATTTTGAGACGGTCTTTGGTTCACTGAAGTTTTAAGGAGAAAATACTCAGCAATGGTGTTGACTGATGAATTTGCACATGGTTTGTCTTAAAGCATTTTAAAAACACCACATAGACATATGAAACAACAAAATCTTTCAATTTTAAATTGACAGTATGCAAGGATGCCATTTCAAACAAAGCCAATTTCAGATTAACTGACAAATCACAAGTGTTAAAACACTGACACCTGCTGGACATTACTGGCAAGTCCACACCACACGCAGGTCATGTTGACACAAGAATACCAGCGGTGTGTTTACACAGTCCCGGTCATATATTCAAGTGGAGTTCATTAATGGATTAAGTGAAGCTGTGCTGTGAATACTGTGTGTACATAGCAACATGAGTGCTTGATATAAAATCCAGAGAATTGTGGGTAAAGTGTCTGAGATCAGTGACGTGCGAGCTCACCCTTTCCTCAGCAGCGACAGGTATGCGCTCTGAAGAGCCGCCTGCAGGAAGAAGCCTGGGTCCAAATCAAAATGAAGGACTGATGAACTGCTTTTAGCTGTTTTGGAACTCGGCGTGCAAACAGTCTGGTGAAGAGGACACATACACTGTGAGATGTGATGTTAGCTTACAAATAAACACGAAAAGTTTCTCAATCAGCGCACACACAGAACATGTTCTTGCATTTAGAAATGTGAGACACCCTGAACAGGGTAAGAAACAAGTCTGTGTTAGTAAAAATTGAATGCCTTTTTTTATTTGAATCAGTTAAGCTTGAGATACTTAAAATACAGTGAGACACTCGGCGGTGACAGAAAAACACATTCTGTGTGAACCGACAGACTTCGCACACACAGACCTTGTCAAGCTCTTGCAGATATAACAGGCCAGCATCACAGGCCATGAGGTAACAGGTCAGGCATTCTTCCTCTCTCTCAGACAGTCTAACACGGGAAGCACCAGACATAGACTGATGGTCCAAAGACATACCTGGACATTTATGGAGAACAATTAGGTTAAGATTCACTTTATAGTAATTATGGACAATCACTGTAAGAGTGAATGAAATATAGTTTGATGCATGCACTGCATCTCCAATTACAGTACAGTAAATTAGACTTAATTAGACATGCTGAACAATAAATAAATTCTTAATCAATATGTGCCAGTTAATCCTTATAATTGAGAAAAACACAAGTGCAAAAATAGTTTTTCAAACAAATGGGTCTTTTTAAACTACATTAGAGGGACTTCATCATTTATTCAGTCAGTCTAGAACACATAGTCCTGGTCTCATCCAATGCTTCTGCAGGGCAAGATGCAGAAAACAGTCATGAACAAACAAATCTATGAATCTCCTAAACCACATGGAGGAAGTCCTATTACTAAACAGACCATTTTCTGAATATAGCAAACCACCAACGACTGTGGCTGACATGCTTGGCCATCTTAGATTTACAGAGACTGCTGCCCACATTGCATTTCCCAGAAGTCACTAGTTCCATCCAAATATGAGGAAGTGCACAGAGAAGAACCAAAAACGAGGAACTAAACAATCAGGAAAAAATTACCCCACCACTACTCTTAAGAATAGTTCCCCATTTGTACAAATCAGAAGAGAAGACTTGTAGACAGGGACCAAAATTAAGACTTCAAATGCCTAATGAAAGTGAAACTGGCTTTGATAAGTTTATAAAACAAAAGTGAATAAGGAACTGCAACAAAGATTAGATAGATAGATAGATAGATAGATAGATAGATAGATAGATAGATAGATAGATAGATAGATAGATAGATAGATAGATAGATAGATAGATAGATAGATAGATATGTGTACCTACAAGCAGATAGATAGATAGATAGATAGATAGATAGATAGTATTAAATGTCTATAGAGATGGTGAACAATGTCCTTCATTAGTCAATCTATTAGTAAACAGACAGCAGTAAATTAATGTAATCCGGGCTCATTGTTGTTGTTGTTGTTGTTATTATATATCACTATTGGTCTGTCAGAGCGGAACTGCTGTCACAAGCTCTGCCTGCTCAGTCTCTCAAGAGACCGATTCTGGGTGGGTTCTGCTTCCTACGGAAGATAAGCTAATATTACACTTTCCCAGCCTACTGTCTGAAAATATGTGTTTGTGAGTGAACATGTAGTGTGGGTACAGATGTTGGGGTCCATGTAAAAAGCAGCAGTGGTTTGAACTAGCACTTTTTAGTTAACTTTACTCAATGTCTTAATTGTTAAAATCTCGTAATCGGTAATATTCACATACTATAAATTTTTTACTCAGAAAACCCAAGTTAAGATTCATTGTTTTGTTTGAGTACTATTTTATAACACAAAAAAAAGGGGTTTCTGACTTTTCACTAATTTCCTCCACTTCTGTATTATTTTTCGGTTGCTTTCGCTGATTTCCTAAAGCCATCTTAAATGTCCAATTGTCAATACAATTGAAAATTTTGAGAGAACATCACATAAGCTTGACTTCATAAGTTGATGATGATTTCCCTAAAATTAACCATTATGGTGATCAGTGTTCCATTTGATTGGGCACTTCAATTATATTATTGTAATTCTCTTCCCATTGATGCAACAAGAAATCACAGTAATTTGAGTGATGTATAGCATAACTATATTTCATGTCAAATAATGATCTTTTAAAATGTTGTTGCTAACACTTATAATAAACATTCAGCATGCAAAACACAACAATGGTTACAATTACATTTTATTTGAAGTAAATGGTCATGTATTCTCAGTTATGTTTTAGTTACTAGAACTCTAATTTAAGAGAACTATACTAACTAAGCATTTGTCATCATACTATTCCTATTTCATTTGTTTGTTTTTTTAAGGCAGTCGGTTTGCATTATTTTAAGGAAGTCTAACAAGAGTTTAGAAATAACTGGTTATTGTACTTACAATTTTTGTTTCTTAAAAAGTTATTTAGTAAAATGTACCAACATTACATAATTGGAAATAGTTAAGCATAACCCTGTTGGTTTGAGGATTTATTAAAATAATATTGTATCATGTCACATATTGATGACATGAACTAGTTGATTCTAAGCATTCTTGATATGTCTATCATCAAATCTATCATAATCTACCATAAAACATTCTAAAATACTTGAAATAGGTTCCTTACTGTGGGAGTATCATGGTACGGATGTTGTCAAGTACTTTTTTGTGCTTCAGTAGTGTGCAAGAATGTACTGTATAAGCAAATAATGAAAAATGAGAAAATAATGGACATTACACAAACACAGGGTGAGTGGCATGTTGGAAAACCCCTAATTTAAATGAAAACTAAATATAAATATATTAGCTTCCCTGTAGACATTGACGTACAATGTTCCTCCTTGGTTACATTCTATCTAAGGATATGATATGTAAGAAAAAACATACGCCTGCCCACACACAAACTGCACACTGTGAATGCAATGCAGACTTTTCTTTCCCTGTATACTTTAGCTTGGGTATGAATCCAATAAAATCATGCCTGAGGAAAATACTCAATGGAATGGAGCAATGGTAATTACTTAATAACTCTATAAATACACAAATCTTGTATTTTAATGGCTCTAGCAGTTACACTATAAGACCTTATAAGGAAATTTTAGATTTAGTGTATATTGGACTGAAAGTCACTCATGGAATTAGTGTAATTTATTTCTCCCAATTAACTTTCTCTACACCTCATGAAATCTGAGAGAACCCGTTTTTCACAAGATTAGTATTGCCGATTTTAAAGAGGTTGCGCCAGTGTTACAGGAAGCTACATACAGCACATATAATTAGTTGAACATTTAGACTATGTTAATTGCCTTGTCATAACTTAATTATACAAGAATGAGGAAGGATTAATGATCTATTGGTGATTTCTCAATTACTTGTACCTTTGATGACAAAGGCCTCTGCCAGCATGCGAAGTTGGTAGACAGGCTGCTCGTGGCGGGCGAAATCATCGACACCCGCTCTGGCACACATGCCCTGGGCGTCCCTGTAACGTCCCTGCACGTAGTACACTTTAGCCAGCAGTAGGAGAGCTTCATTCATGTAGTGCGGCTACAGGGGAAGAGTCCAGAAATCACACTTAATATTAAGGCTGCACAATTTAGGGGTTAGATGCATTTTTTCTGATTATATATGGTTACAAAATAATAATAATTATTATTATTAATATTATTATTGCATTACTACTACTGCTAAATAAATAAAAAGAAAATATCAAATATTACTGTAATATTACTGTAATATATATATATATATATATATATATATATATTCAATACTAATATTTAAGGCTGTCTTATTTTTCCGAATGTTAAACCACAAAACAGTAACACTTTACAATAAGGTTACTTACCGGTAATCAGTTAACTAACAAGAACTAACAATGACCAATACATTTGTTACTGCATTTATTTATCTTTGTTAATGTTAGTTAATAAAAATATATTAATAACTAACTAAGATTAATAAATGTGGAAGTTTAACATTTAATTTAATATTCAATAATACTGGATCACAATTTACTCCAGAGTATATATATATATATATATATATATATATATTTAAACTCGTTCATCAAAATGAACGAATCTTTTTTTGAGTCATTTGGTTCATACAAAGAACAAAATAAATGAAATGACCCGAAAAAAAGATTTGTTCACTTTTGATGAACGAGTTTGAACAGGAGATTCACGAACGCACATCATAGAACAGAGCAAGGTGAGCATTTGTGCATATAAAACTTTTTTTTTTATTATTTATCTTTGAAATTTCCGATCATTTTGCTCGATTTGACTTAAAGAAGTATTATTAATTCTTAGTTCATGTTAACTAAGGTGTTTAACTAATGTTAACTAATAAACCTTATTGTAATGTGTAACCCACAAAACTTTTTAATTTGACGAAAAACCACAGGGAGCCCTTAAAGCTTCTTTTGTTGATATGCATCTCATAAAAAGAATGTGAAGATAGTTGGATTCCCAAATGCATTTTAAAGCATCCCAAATTGAAAACAGATGCAGAGATGTGTTCATATGGAGCAGCATTTCCTGTGAACCAAACCATACTGCTCACTTGTAAATGAACAGAGGGCCGTATTTCACTCTGAAACACGCAGCGTGGATATTTATTTAAAGCTTGTATCAGCGATTGTGGGTGAATTCACTTCTGTTTGTGTTTGAAGCGAGATCCCAAACAAACCAAATTAGCTCGCCCCTCCCTCCTGTTTCATGCATCATGAAAAAAAAAAAAAAAAACGATCATGCATGCGCATTTCTTAAAGCTACAAAAACTATTTTCAGAATCTTGACGGTCTACCTCAATGATAGCTCATTCTGTGAACTGTAAAATGTGAACTTGGCTGCTTTGGATTACAAAGTAAAATGATGTATATAAAATCTGCACTCAAGCCATGTCATATCATACAGCTAGTTTTGCTATGATAAAACATACCAAAATCAGTAATATACTGTTTACTGTAGCTACAGATATAATGTTATGGGGAATACTCATGGTAACAACAGCTATCTAGAGCAGTGTTGGGAGTAACGCATTACAAAAGTAATACATTACATATAACTTTTCGCTGTAACGCAGTAGTGTAAGGCATTACTAATCAATTTTCAGTAATATTTTACTCGTTACATGTTCAGTGAGGCTTGTATTACAGTTGTATTACAGTGTATTGTCTGCTTTTACTTCTTAAAGGCAACAGACTATGTGAAAGTTTTAAAGCAGTCTTAGTGCCAGTTCAGAGCGGTCGCGTCTGTAACATTGTTTTTTCCTCATAAATGCGAACACGAAAACTAAAATAAAATGAATATTTTAAGTTCTATGGAGACTGGAGAGCCAACCCTTCCTCATCCGATTTGTGCAGTGTAATTAACAGAATTACAAAAAATCGATTTTGCCTCCTATTTTTTTGTCACGCATGAATGTGTGTCTTTTCCCTAATATTAAAAATAAAACATAGACTGATATTTGTCTAATGTCTGGAGTCCTTTAAGGAAGTAGCCTATATACGTTTCAATACATGTCTTTTCTGAGAATTTTTATTTCAAGTTTTGACTGCAAATGTCATCATGTCCATAATGCTGGACTTCCCCAATTTTAAATAATTTATCCTCAACTAGTTTTGTGGTGTAAGTCTACGTATTTTATAATGTTAGCTTCAAATAATACTAATAGCCTAATTTAAAGATAAGGCAGCATTGTAAATGGACGGTAAGGAGAATAACGCTGGAGTTGGAAGAGGTTTGTCGCGATTCTTTAGGTTCGTTGATCTGAGTCATGTGGCGAATCGCGATTTCGGTTTCATATTGCATATCGTTACAGCCCAAAAGTTAAGTTCTACTTAGTTATTTTGGTGAAAGTAACAAAAAAGTAATACATGAGTAATGTAACGCATTACAATTCTGGGACAGTAATATTGTAAGGTAATGAATTACTTTTAAATAACAGTAACAAGTAATACCTAATGTATTACAGTTTGGAAGTAACTTGCACAACACTGATCTACAGTAATATTATAACAGCTTATTATTATTATTATTATTAGGCTAAAGTTAGTCCTGAACGTAGGCTAGTGTTATTGCTAATAGTACAATGTTATGGCTACACATCAAAGTAGACACATACTGTATAACAAACACACACAACTCACACACTAAGTCCCCACAATCTGATATTCGCTAGAGCTAGTTTAGAGCTAAGTTTAGTCGAGCTACACTCATATTTTTAAAGAATTATATTTTCACACACAAGTCACATACAAAAAAGTCAGCACTAGAAGCTACTCATCTGTCCAGAAGAAACAGGACAACCTCGGCGTCCGAAAGACTTAAAAATTTTCAATTATTTGAGTTCTCTCCACCGTTCAAAAGCCTTCCTGAATATTATTCGTTTCTTTAAAGAAAAACGATGGGATCCCCTCACCCTAATCCTCTTCCATGTTAAATGTATCTTCCACGTTAAATGTGTACCCCCCCCCCCCCCCTGCTTAGGGCGGGCAGCTAGCGGATCATTAGGAAAGATTAGATGAATGTGACCATTTTTGTTTGGGCCTAAAACCGCTGATACAACCTTTAATCAAAGCGCAGCCTTTAATCTCACCAAATATGAATATCATTGCATTACATTACATGCAGCATTAATTACTCTGCTAAGACGCCTGTGTGAACTTGAGGAGAACTGACTTCATACATGACACCGTTTTCTGCAGAGCTGGTTAATAACTTATTCGATTTCATTTCATAAATTTTGCAACCCAGATACACTGCAGCGTTACACTAAAATGAATGAATCAATCAACTGAACTGATATGTAAAATGACACTATTGTCTTCTGTAAAGCTGCTTAAGAGCTGAATTGAACTTACTTCATTATTGATGAACTTTGTTATTGTACTGAATTGAATCAACAACGCTAAACTGACTAATGCTACCATTGTCTCCTGTACAGCTGCTTTGTCTCATATTTGACGGAGTTAGCATTATAGTCAGCTGCTTTAAAACAATCAGTATTGTATAAAGCATTATATAAATAAAGATGACTAGCCTTGACATCCACTAAAATTCAGCAAAGCACCAGCTTTAAATAATAATAGTTTTAACCAAAAGCCTTGTTTGCAGATCCCTATCATTTTGATAGTTGTTCAATTAATAACTCCATCAGTTATTAATTCCCAAAAGTTCTTATGATATCCATTCTTCTCTTTCTCAGAGATGCTTAACGGATGATATACTTGAGAAACAGAGAGACTTATGTAAGGTGCCGTGCCAGACCTCCAGGAGTCCTCTGCAAAGGATGCTGTCGAGGTGAGCTTTGGCTCGGGCTAGTTTTGGCTGTGAATGTTCAGTCAGAGGTATAGAATTCTTCAGCAGGGTAATGTTCTCCAGCAGACATTCTTCCAACAGAGATTCAGCCAGCAGCAGCGTCCTGTAATCATCTACAGACAGAGAGAATCTGTGCAAAGGTTGAAGAAGAAAGACTAGAACATGGTGTGGCGAGAGATTGTGCCACAAGAATCCCTGAAACACAATATTAGATTGTTTTCTAAGGTTCCAAGATATTTAAAAAACATTTAAAAATCATAATACAGCATTACAGTTCTATCATTTATAAATCAGCACTAACACGTGGGAATACATCAGTTTGTTTCTAAATATGCAAACTGTTGTTCATCGCGATTTCAAAATAAAAGTTTAAACCCTTGGTATGTGTTTGCATGTTTTGATGTCCACATGTTCTTGTTGAATAAATTACAGTGGCTGTAGCATTTCTAGCAATATTACAGATTAAGTGCACACTTTATTAAATGTTGTTTTGGCCAATATTAAGCAAAGGATTTGGTCATGCTTTAAAGTGTAACAACAATCACTATTTGTTGTCAACAATCACACCAAGTTGGCGTCGTCTGCAGGCATTCAATATATATTGTACATAGGTTGATTGTTTATTATATTATGTATATAACATTATGTGTTGTTCAATAAAACCATAAAATGACTTGTTTTGATACTTTATGCATGTATATGTTAACCATATATTATTGCCTATTATTGCCTTGCATATATTATTATTTTAATTTAAGTCTTTTAAGTCATTTTAAAGGGTATTCAAGTCAAGTCACCTTCATTTATATAACCTTTTTACAATACAGATTGTTTCAAATTACAGAGATAATATAAAAAAATGCAACAGATATTGTTTTGGTTATACAGCAGCTCTAGAAGAAAGTCATTTTCCAGCTTAAAGTCGGCATGAAATCAAATTTGACAAATCTTCTTTTTATATGTAATATTGTCGTGTTTATTATAAATGATTTATCTGTGTACTTCATTATTTAAAAAAAAAAAAAAAATTCATGTACCCTTATAATCTTTAATCAAATATATTACCCTTTCCTCCCCCCTCGAAATGACCTCTCGTCTCTTTCGGTCATGTGCCATGGCGAAAGTGTGCGCCCAGAGCCGATGAGGGTGCGGCTATCGGTTCACTGCCTCTCAGACTGAATGTAAACTGCCATTCAAATCTGCCTCCATTAACGCCCAACTTCCAACAATTCAATCAATTCCCAAAGGACGAAATCAAGCCCTGCCCTACATTTTTTTCTAATTTCAGAAGCCGTTTCACTCGGAGGAAAAAATGACAATCTCAACTTCCATTTCATGCTGACTTTAAGTAAGTTTTTGATGAATTTCCGTTGTAAAAATCGTCTCGGTAACGGATTCAACCCTCATTCTCTGAGTAGGAAACAGAAACATTTCGTCGAAATGACGACAAAATGGGGTTCGCTTAGAAACCTATCATCTTCGAGAAATAAAATGAGCCAATGGCAAGGAAATGCAATGGGTCTGCGGAATTTGCATGGCATAACTCCACCCCACCGTGAAGGTATAAAAGGAAGGACGCCGCAACATACAGATATGTTTCTTCGCTCAGAAGCCAAGACTGAACTCGGCTGTTCCAGCGGAAGTGGCAGGGAGATGTAACATCCGTAACCGAGACATTCCCTTTCATAGTTTTCATAGTTCGTAGTCCCTTTCCTAGTCCAATTATGCCACATCGGCTGTCTTTCCAGTGCCCCGCGTAAATCTGAGCTCCCTATCGTGAGACTAGCACGGACGAAGGACTCCTACTTAGCACAGGAATACCAAGGTACACGGCGAAGCAAATCTCAGAGGAAATATTCAAACCCAGGGGGCTGTGGGACTTACAGAATACACATATGACCTGGAAGAGGGGTGCATACAGAGTGCCAGCCCACAGGGTAGAATATTTCAAGTGGCAGAGTGGCTTGCCTAGGGAAAAACACATGCTCAGAGAGGCTTACAGTGGAAATACACATGTGGGGGTCACCCAAAGTGGGAACTATGCAGGCGGCGGCACCTAGCCAATCGCGAAAGCTTCCGGGGGCATAACTCTGGCGTTGACGTCAACAGATTTGGAGGAACTCAGGGCTTGTGAGGCTCATCTTAGGAGAATATCACACATATCTAGTCTGTGGAGTGGAATGGCGAGCAAGCGAAGACACCTGAGCGGGTCCTAGTACAGGATGGTTGAAGCGAGTACACGGGATGACACTTGCTCCACTCGGAGATTGTAGAATCTGGTGGATGTGTTGGGTGTCACCCAGCCTGCAGCTCTGCACGGACAACCTTACTGCTGGTAAGCCAAAGAAAAGCGTCCACTATCCCGTGAGACAACCTTTACTTGGAGAGAGCCTTTTCCTTCAGCTTCCCACCATAACAGAGAAAGAGATGGTCAGAGGTCCTAAAACAATGTGTTCTGTCTACATAGGCACGGATGGCGCGTACTGGACAGAGCAATGCCAAGGCTGGATTTGCCTCCTCCAGGGGCAGCGCTTGCACGTTCACCACCTGATCTCGAAAGGGAGTGGTGGGAACCTTGGGCACATATCCAGGCTAGGATCTAAGGATCACGTGAGAATAGGCCGACCCAAATTCCAGGCACGCTTCATCAAAGGAAAATGCGTGCAGGTCCCCTACCCTCTTAATAGAGGCCAATGCAACCAGGATCGCTATCCTAACAGTCAGGAACTTAAGCTCCACTGATTGCAGAGGCTCAAGGGAGCACTTAGAACCACTGAAAGCTCCCAAGAGGGAACGAGAGGAGGGCGAGGACAATTAAGTCTCCTCGCTCCTCTCAGGAACCTGATGATCAGGTTGTGCTTTCCCACAGATTTACCCTCAATTGCGTTGTGATGTGTGGCGATAGCGGCAAAATAGACTTTCAGGGTGGAGGGAGACCGTCTACGCTCCAGCCTACCTTACAGGAAGGAAAACACTGATCATGCATTTTCTAGGGTCTTCTTGGTGAGAAGAGCACCAGTTGAAGAAGAGGTTCCATTCCAACGCGTAGGCATGTCTCAAAGAGGCCAGCCTGGGATACGGAGGAGTTGAGGAAGCGGGTTGGCTCAGCCTCACGCATGTCAACCAGGTTAAAATAGAGATGTTTGACATCACCTGATCCAGGGAGCATGCGGTCACCTTCGTCGCTCGTAGAGCGAGCTCAGTGGTGGCAGGCCGCTCATGGAAGAGCCCTGAATCAGTCCTACCGTCATGCATGTCATTAGGCACCCTGAAGGATGGCAATAACATGCAGTGAGGCAGCAGCCTGCCCTGCAGCTCTATAGGTCTTTGCCACCAGAGTAGACCTGTAGAAAAACCTACAGACATTGGAGAGGTGCTTACGGCAGGTGGAGGTGCTGTGGGGACACAGATGTGTTGCCACAAAATACTCCACGGGGGGAACCCCAGTGTACCCTCAGAAAAGGCGGATGAGGCCGCTGAGCAGTCACGAGAAGTCAAAAGAGTCTCCCACAATCTCATGACCTCTTCATGCATGGTTTCGCCTCCCCCAAAAACCAATCATCAGCCTTAAATGCTCGGGACAAAGTGGATGATTCCACCCAAGCCTGATACTCGCGCTGACCCGTGAAACCATAGCTGTCAACTCTGGATCAGACTCTTTATGCTAGCACACCTGAGGGCGGCAGCACAGATGTGCCCTCATCTCCAGAGGATATACATGATTTAATCAGCCGGGGTGAAGTGTGAAAGACGGGGTGTGGATGAGGGGACTCTCGCTCTATTGAGCTCATCGTGACACGATGAGAAAGTGACGCATCCACGAACGCTGTCTGAGTGTGATCAAAGCCCAAACACGTCAAAACAGAGCTTGTGAATGCCGCGTACACGCTCTTTTAGTGAGAGAACAGCTTGCAGTAGTGCTGAAGCGCCCAAGGAGATACACACACGCTGTTCAGTTCAGCAGGCAGGAATGTGAAACTCGCTGGAACTTGCCATCACACCAACACCAACTGGAAGCTGTTCGTCTAGAAGATTCTCGAAGATAATCAAAGAATAGGTTGCAGGAGTGAAGAGAACTTGGCTCTGAAGCATAAACATATCTGCATGTTGTGGCATCCTTCCTTTCATACCCACGCGATACCCATACTTTGCGATTGGCTCGTTTTATTTCTTTCGAAGATGATAGGTTTCTAAGCGAACCCCATTTCGTCATCATTTCGACGTAACTGACGTGACTACGAACATTAGTAATTAACTTAGGGGCTGCTTACAGAACACTTTTTTCAACTGAAAACAGAAAAATTGTAATGTATGTTCATTTACACGACAGCTGTGTTTTGGTGGCATGAGATCGCAAACTTTGAAGTAGGTTTTAAAGTACACGTTTTTTTGCACAGGTTTTGAAAGAGATATCGTATTTTTATTAACACAAAAAATATTATCCGATTACTCAATTAATTGTGAAAATAATTGACCAATTACTCAATTACCAATATAATCATTAATGACAGCCCTAGATTAGTTAAAGTATTAGTTGCAGTATTAAAGTGCACCTGCATTGTTTAGCATTTTTTGACTTTCAGGAAAATAAAAGACGATTTTTCCAATCACATTTTGTCATTGAAGATTTCTTAAATATAGTGTTTATTAAAAATACCATCTCGTCCAATATCCAATATCGCATATTGTCTCGTCCCGTGAGCTAAGTGTATTGTCAAACCCCACTAGAACATGCTTGCTGTTAGCTGATTATGCTAGTGTATCTTCTTTGACTTCTTTTAAGGGAAAAATCCTCACCAACATCACATCCAGAACAGTAATTTTTCATCCAACATTGAACTTTATCGCAACAGAATGGCATTGCTGATAAACACGTCTAGATTTCATGCTAATCTACAGCTGCATTCTGATCAGGTTTAGAGAGTCACGCGTGTTTGTTTTATAGTCCTACAAGGAGGTGCTTCAAAAATATTTCCTTTGCTTTCATGCCTATTTTGTATAAATACTGTGGATGAGGTGTATCCTGTTTGCTTTAATCTCTCACTCCCCATGGGAATCTAGACTTGTGTTATATGTCAAGTTTAGGTATGACATTTTCCTCAGCAAAATATGAAGTAACTACAGTATATCACTTTGTAAATTAAAGTAAAGAAATTACTCTGTTCTGTGGCCACCTTTTACTGACTGAGTTTATTTCCCTACAGGGTGTTTGCGGTGGTAAAACAAGGGCGTGCTGGGTCATCTGATTTTGAAAGTGGTGGACAGACACAACTCCAGGGAGCGCCATGTGTTAACTTCTAGATTACTGCTGTTGATTTAACAACTTGGCTGTTTAAGCAGTATGTTTACCTTTTACTATGCTTAAGTGAGAGGACTGTTTTTTTTAAACTAAAACTATTTACATTTATAATTTTTCTTCTGAAAAACACAAATTTAGTAAAAGTAACATTGTGAAATATTATTAGAATTTAAATCAACAATCAATTTTATAATATTTTTTGCTAAATTTAATTTATTCTAGTGATAGTGAAGCAGATATTTTTAGCATCAGTACTCCAGTCTTCAGTGTCACATGATCCATCAGAAATAATTCTTATATGCTGATTAGGTTATTTAATAGCATTATATTATTTTCAATGTTAAGCAGTTGTCCTGCTTAATATTTTTGTGGAAACTGCAATGCATTTTTTCCAGGAATCTTGAATATAACGTTTAAAAGAAAAGTATTTCTAAACAGAAACCTTTTGTAACATATTAAAAATATAATGGTCTGTCACTTTTGATCAATTTAACCTGTCCTTAATGATGAAATATATTAATTTTATGCAAATTCGTTTACTAGTTCACCAACACAGATTTGCATTGTCTTTTATATGAAAAGGTGCATCATGTACTGGGTAAAATTAGTGTCCATGTCTAATTACCAGTATCCAAAAAAAATGTAAATAATTGTAACCAGGTGGATTGCCCCTGAGAGTCACCAGAGAGCACTCCACACCAGATGTTCATGTTTCACTCACAACTACATTTCCCAGAACTCACTGCCCGGACTCATCAGTATTCATCACATTCACCTGTACCTCATTCATTGCATTCACCTGAGTCTCATCCTGTTAGTCTGTCTATATATACCATGTTCATTCTTTCACTCATTGCGAAGTCTTGTTGTACTGTGTGTCTGCATTTCTGAGCAGTTTCCATGTTTGTTTTCTGGTTTTTGACTTTGGATTGTTCTTGGATTCTGATTATTGCTGCCTGCCCTGACCTCTGCCTGTTTCTTGGATTTCCACTGTGTATTCTACATTGCCCCGTCTGCTGATTCTCGACCCTGCCTGTACGACTACTCTTTAATAAAGCTGCAATTGGATCTTCGTCTCCATGTCTCGGAGCAGTTCATAACAATAATATGCTTCTTCAGTTAGATGAAGTAAGTAGAAAATCTTGGGTTTCCTGCATTCGAGTTTTATTGTATCTCAACGGTTTGTGTGTAGGTGATATAAGAATTTTCACATCTATCCTGAATCAGCGATTGAGAGAGAGCTCAAAATACATGGTACACATCAGTTTTAGAAGTTGAATATTCTCAATGCACGTCAATGGTGGTACGAGAGAGCTACATTGCATCTGTACATAACATACAGTTGGCACGATCTCTGTTATTGTTCAGATTCTCAGGGCACTGTTTAACTCTAGAAATGGTAGCTGGAACAATATACCAATGACATAGAGAATCTGTAATTGTTGTAAATTAACTAACAGCTCTGTGATCGAAGACGAGAAGCATTTCTTGTATGATTGTTCTTTGTACACGGATCTGCGTAAGAAATATTTGAGTAATCTCACACATGTGGGTGATGTTTGTGTTGTGTCACAGGTTTGTGAGTCGAAGCATGCATGGAGATTGGTATTGTAAATATATCATGGAATGAAAAAAAGAGTATCTGTCATGCCATTGTGACTTTGGAACTATGGGCCTGAAATAAAACTTACTAACATCCCTCGTTAAATAGTTAAATTCTGTCAATTTACTCACCATCACTATGTTCTAAACCTGTATGGAATGTATATTTCTTCTGCTGAACCCATATTTTGAAGAATATGGGTAATCAAACAGATGATGGGCCCCATTGACTTAAAAATATGAAAGAAAATGGGATCCATCAAATGTTTGGTTACTGACATTGTTCAAAATATCCTCTTTTGTGTTAAGCAAAGAAACTCATACAGGTTTGGAACAACTTGAAGTTGAATAAATGTTGAACAAAATGTTGAAGTTATAACTATCTTTAACAGAGTGAATCATGTTCAAAGTTGTTGTTACAAGATCTTAGGTCAAAGAACATCTGGGTGAAAGGACAATGCCGAGTGTGTCTGGGAAAGTATTTATAGCCTATATAACAGTGGGGAAATACAATATCAAATTCATTACAAACCTTACGAAATTGTATCAAGTGAGTTTCACCATCTGCACTTTCATTGACAGTTATTATATCACCAGAAATAGTCAACAATCATTGAAAATGAACAACAGAAAAATAAATAATAATAATACATATTTGGATGAGTGATGATGGTGAGTAAATTATGATACTATCCCTTTAAGTCAAGAAGCTTTTACCTGTATTAACTAATGGGTGTGTGCAAGCCAGGCATTTACATCTCTGTTTCACATGAGTAACTGGCGTTATACTCTCTCTCTCTCTCTCTCTCTCTCTCTCTCTCTCTCTCTCTCTCTCTCTCTCTCAAATTAAAAACAAATCAAAACAAACCCCCAAAAAACAGACGTCTAAAAAAAAGTGGATGTGAGTTTCTGTGACTGATATCACACTGGTAAACATGGACAGTTTAACAGAAAGGTGCAAAGTTCATGCGGAACAAGACACACTCATAATTGCTGGCTCTCTTCTATTCTACTGTGGCACGCACACTTACCATCGTCATGCAGGCGCGCGGCAGTGAGCTGCTCCACTAAAGACGGTATTTTGTCCCAGTGACAGTCCGCCCGGCAGCGCTCGACCTCCGCCTCCACGCGGTACTGAGAGAAAGAGAGCCGCGTTGACATCCCGACGCCTGCGTCTCTGTGACCGCGCTCCGCCGACACCAGTGGAGTGACTGCAGACTGTCAACGACAAACTCACTGAGCATGTGCAAACAAACACTAGAAGGCTTTGCCCATTTCAGAGACTGCAGAATATTGATCATCTCCGTTAATAATTCAATAAAAGTTAAAACATTATTATTCCTATTTGGTTGCTTTTTTTCACATTTTCCTTCAGTTGCACTTGCACCGAACTAGTAAATCACATTCAATTTCACATAGGCTAACGTTCCCACTTCCCACACATTTTGATTTCATTTTACCTTCTAAATCTCATCAGCATCTCTTTACATAAGGCCTATACATTAAAAAAAAAAAAAAAAAAAAAGTAAGAATATCGCAATGTTGTTATAAGCTCAAATCACTCATAATTGCTGGCTGATAGGCAATGTCACTGAACAGGCGGAAACAGCATCTACTTGGATTTGGATACAGCGAGAGGTGCGGTGGCAGAGACAACCTGTTGAAGGACTAAAACGGCCTAGAGTTGGGGGTCAGCAGGTGTAGATCCTGAATCTCCTGTCGAGCCCTCCTGAGGTGTTATGGGCTTAAATTGACGAAACACCAAGGTGGGTGGCCGGGTGCCCATCTGATTACCAACTGTAGCCACCAAACTCTTGGATTGTTGAGAGATGTATCAACCCTTGAGCTGGCCCAGGGAGAAGGACAGTGCTTGAAAGGAGGAGAGCAGGAGAGGAGAGAGTGATGCCACTCACAGATGGGGCAGGGAAGAGTTCATGTAAAGGTGGGCCAGCTGCGATAATCACACCATATGTTGCATAATGAAAGTATAGAACCTTTAGCTTAAATATGCTCATGTGAATTAGCCTGGTTCAACCAGACTCTAGTTAATTTCATTTCCACATAGAGTCTGGAACCGCTCCATTGAGAAACGTTTCCTTCCTTGTAGGCGGGTTCACTATTAAAGTTCAAATCTATTGGATCTGCCCAAAGTCACTCACGATCTGCCATAGCCAATCGCTAACGGGGTGTCGTGAGTGACGTATGTCACGCGCCGAAATGGCTGGAAACAACAAGTCCGAATGATCAGAGGATTATGTTTACAATAGGATTTCAGTCAACGAGCGCCGCAGGTTTTGTTAATCTAGGAACAATTATTAATTCGAAATGTATATTTGACACAAAGGACAGTGATATATACATCCAACGGTGGAAGCTGTGTCTAATCATTACAAATACGCCGCTGTGGTCGTTTTCTGATCTGCCGCAAATGCTGTAGCAGCTAACAGTGAATGATCAGTCTTGTCTCTATCTGCAGATGTGTAATAAACAACAATTTTTCATATTACGTCTTATTGATTCTTAATTACCTTAATTATGGTCTTCAAAGTATGTGTTTGTACATTTTTATGTGGCATTTAGTTTTTTTTAGTAAAACAAATCAACCATTGCCATCTAAAACTGAAAATCAAATATCTTCAAAGTATGGTTTTTCACATTTTTATTTATGACAATTATTTTTAAAAAATTACAACCAATTTGTATGATTTACAACATGTAAAACTGACACACCAACCTCCTGCACGAGTACACACAGGGGCTCAAAATGTTCTATTCATCACAAGAATCAGTAAATATACAGTTGGGAATATGAGTGACTGACATGACTCCTGAGCGGATCTTCAACAATAGTTTAGCAGCCAGGACTCGGGCTTCCGAACACCGCGAACACCAGGCTAAACCGTCTGTCCAAAATGTCACGGTCATTGTGCACGAACTGCCCAGCACAAACTTCCAAACTTTCTGCCTCCTTCACTTGGTCCTCAGTTGTGCAACAAGAGGTGAGACGATAACAATCTGGCTTTAAATATATTCGGCAGTTTCTTTTCCAACAACGGACCGAATAGCTTTTCTCACGTCTTTCTCCGCTGCCATTACTGAACTCAAACTGACGCGCTTACATCAACGTCATCTTTCTCAGCCACTCCCTCTATTCGCTGATTGGTCCTACAAAAAATTGATTTCTGGAAACCTAAGGATATGGAGCGATCCCAGACGTAGTTACTGAAGTAAAATGAAATTGAGCGGAAGTGCGTAGGAGGGCACAGCCAGGCTACATGTGAATAGCCAGTAGTTGTGTTTGTTTTTTGTTGAATAAAATGTGGCGCTATAAATATATATATATTATATATTTGTATTTATAATATAATATAAATATATTATAATATATTTTATATATATATCATATTCCTATTTAGCACCTAACCTTTGGAACAGTCTCCCTAACATTGTCCAGGAAGCAGTTTAGGTCTGATAGACTGCTGGTCCCGTCCAGCCCAGAGACTGATTTTTCTCTCCCTGAGCCTGTCACTTCTCCCAAGAATATTTTTTGGGTGGGGGATATAGGTCCCCGGCCATTGGAGCCAGGCCTGGCTCCCACAGGTAGGCCTGGTCTCCCAGAGGGTCTTCACCGCCACGGCTGCCCGAAGGGTCTTCACAGGCCAAGCCGCCTGCACATCCTGCTCCGCCCTGGAAGCTTCCGGCTCTGGGTAGGGCACGTCCTCGTCAGCCTCCAGAGCGTCCAACCTCCCACCCTACCCCTTGTAATACAGCGCATGGACGCGCCTTTTTGGGAGGGGTAATGTTACGTGTACTGTGTTTCCCCCTGCTTAGTGTTTTTGGTTCAGTCCTGTGTCTCAGTTTTCCCGCTCCTCGTTAGTGTTTAATTGCAGCAGCTGTGTCTTGTCTTCATCAGTTCATTCACCTGCGTTCAGTCTATTACCTGATTATGTTCCTTTGTTAGCCCATGTCTTTAAAACCCTGTGTTCTCCCTCATTACTTGTCCGTTCTTATTAATGTAAGGTGTGTGTTCTGTTATCCTGTCTGTACCTGTTCAGAAAGTAAAAGTAATTTGTATTGCCCTTTGTGCCTTAATTTCTTCTTCTGCTTCTGCCAACACCACACCCGTAACAGCCCTAATGTACTCTTTTTGTGCTTTTTGTGAAGAAAATTTACTATTGAGTGTGATGAGAAGATTAGACAAGCTTTGGGACATAATATCATATCATACAATTGTGTCTTTCACAGTTGCTCTCTGTCGTGTCCTGTCACAGTAAACTCTCCTGTCAATAATCTTGTCAAAGATAAAATCCTCTACATTTAATTTTATTTCCTACCAGATCAGAGAGTTGATTTCCTACCAGATCACGGCTATTTCATGCAGAGACTCTCCTCTTATTAATGTATAATGATGCATTTAAAAGTTTATGCCTCAACGGATCTTTACAAAAGTCCACATTGTTATTGCAGATGGAATACAACACAGATAACATTAAATATATATATATATATATATATATATATATATATATATATATATATATATATATATATATCTATATATATATGAAGAGTTCAGATGCAAAAGCCTCTAAGTGCCATTTGAAATTTTCTTCTAGAATGATCATTTTTATCAAGCTTGTATATTTAAGTTCAGTGATTTCACTTAAATGGCAATGATAATTACATAGTAATTCAAGAATCACTTTATTCGCCAAATGCATCAGCAGATACACAGGAATTTGATATGGCCATCAGTTACACACAAACTCACACACAAACATGTCTAAAACAATCAATAAAAAAATAATAATAATAAAATAACAATAATAATAATAATAAATAATAATAAAATAGTCAGAATAGGGCTAATTCAGCTATTTAATAGGGAAATGGCTCTTGGAAAAAAAACTATTTAAATGGCGTGAGGTCCTTGTCCTCACTGCTCTATACCTTCTCCCTGAAGGAAGCAGCCTAAAAATGTCACTTGCTGGATGAGACTGATCAGCAGCAATTTTAGCTGCCCTCTTTCTGACTCTGGCCTCATATAAGTCGTTAAGTGACAGCTGCCTCTGTCCAGTCAGCCTCTCAGCTGTGCACACAATACGCTGTAGTCTGACCTTCGCCTGGGCTGATGCCGATGCAAACCAGACAGTAATGGATGCTGTAAGAAGGCTTTCCACAGTGGCCCTGTAAAATCTAGTCCGAATAGAGCTGGAAACGTTCAGTTTATTTCTCTGTCTCAGAAAAAACATTCCACTATGAGCTCTCTTAAGAATGGAGGAACTATTTTCCTCCCATTTGAATTCATTTGTGATAACGGTGCCTAAAAATTTAGTTGACTCCACCCTCTTCACAACAGAGCTCTTGATAGTTAGAGGTGGTAGGCAGGCGGGTGCCCTACGAAAATCTATCACCATTTCCAGTCTTTTGCTGATTAAGCTCCAAGTTGTTCTCATCACACCATGCAACCAATTTTGACACTTCCTGCCTGTAAGCAGACTCGTCATTTCCCTTAATAAGGCCGACTAATGTGGTATCATCTGCGAATTTAATCAGCTTGATGGAGCCATTGTTGGAAGTGCAATCATTGGTGTATAGTGAGTAGAGAAATGGTGACAGCACGCAGCCCTGCGGTGCTCCAATGTTAGTGGTCTGAGGATCAGACAAGTGCTGGCCAAGCCGCACATACTGTTGTCGGTCACTAAAAAAATCCATAATCCAGCGGCAGATAGAGGATCCCACCCCCATCAGTGACAGCTTCTCCCCCAGTCGCTCAGGTAGAATAGTGTTGAAAGCTGCCCTGAAATCCACAAACAACATCCTTACGTAAGAGCCAGGAGAGTCAAGATGGTCCAGAGCATAATGCAGTCCTAAATTGACCGCATCATCTACCGAGCGGTTTGCCCTGTAAGCGAACTGTAGTTGATCAAGATAAGGAGCTGTGATGGGTTTAAGATGTGACAGAACCAGCCTTTCCAGACATTTCATGACCACTGATGTAAGGGCCACCGGTCTGTAGTCGTTTAGGTCCACAGCTTTGTTTTTCTTCGGCACTGGGATAATGATTAGGCGCTTTTCCACTGCATAGTACGGTACGGTTCGGTTCGATACGGCTCACTTGTGGTGCTTTTCCACTGCATGGTACGGTACAGTACGGTTCGCTTAAGGACGCTTTAAATGGTACCTGGTCTGTTGAGGTTCCAAGCGTACCGTACCGG